AAACCCAAACCCAAAACCCAATCCGCGGGACTTGTTGCCTTCACGTGAAGGTCTTCCGGAATTCGCCGCCGGGGATTTTTTGCCTTCGCGTCTCGCAGTATAGGTACGTCATAAGTAAGGTTCGTTTTAACCAAACCCAGGGATTATACCAAACCTTGAGAAGTCCTACCCAAGTCTAATTATAATTTTCCCTCCAAGCCTAATTATGTCGAGAGGTCCTACCCAAGTCTAATCAAATTCTTTTTCCCCCCAGCATAGCCCTCATATAATGTTTCCTTCCAAGCCTAAGGACTCAATTAGCCGTGTTTATGCTACATTGCTATTACGCCAGTGAAAATTAATAAGGAGAAATTAGAAATAATAAAAAAATTATATATTCTCCATTTAATCGAATTTTATCTAATGGATACATCTCTCCAAATAATCCTTATTTTTGATTGAGTTGCTTAAGATTTGAGGTACTGTATTTATTATTATTATTATTTTTAAGTTTAGTCATCATTCTATTAGTTTTTGTCATAGCACGCACTAGTCCTTGATCAAAATCTACTAATAGGTATGTTGTTAATACTTTTCCAATCAGACAAGAACTAGTTTAAATTATAATTTACTTCAAAATACCAATATATTAAATTTGGTACTAAAGAATTTATTTTCCTCTCTCACTAAGCTTAAAAAGGATTTTTTCATCCTCTTCAAGGCAATTCAAAATCAGTATATCACAGGGGTTCTTTTATTTGTTAAAATATTAATGCTCTTTAATAACTTCAATTATACAATTAGATATGATACATAGGTGAATATAAGTTTATTAATAAAGTTATAAATTCAAAAATTTGTTTATTGAAAAATCAATGCCAGGGGTGTCATTCATAAAAATTCTGTTTTTCTACCCAATCCTATTTTATTAAAACTGTATGGATACTCGAAGCGGTGATTGCTATAATAATGATTGGTCAAGCAACGTAGTAGATTGCGCAGGTAATATAGTCATAGGACGATTTACTGCTAATGAAAAAATATCTAAATAATTCAGTAATATAATAGGAGGCAAGTTTGGTTTTAACTTCACAATTGTAAAATTCGATAGTTGGGACTTTGTTGATACTGTAACAGTCTTTGCAGATGAGATAGAACTAGGTAAATTTTATTACAACGCTGGTGATGGAGTAGATATGTGTTTCGCGTTTTATCAAGAACTTTTTGATTCGAAAGCATATTAGTTTAGATTACCAGAAGGAAGAAACTCATTGAAATTAACTTTGTAGGGCCACTTTGATGAGCCACTTACTAATGGTATTATAATTTTTTATGTTAGAGGGTTGGGGTGCTAAGAGATTCACTTTAGAAATATTATAGCCTTGTGTAGAATTTTATAGTGATTGTAATTTTTAAGGAGAAGCATGGAGAATTTGTAGTGGAAATCAAACAAGTTAGGCAAGAAAAATTCCATTTGAAATAAAATCAATACTAATTGCAAATGGGATATAAGTCAAAATGAGAGATCCAAAGTACCATGGTGGTCAAACTTAAACATATACTTCAAGTTAATATTGTTTATCAAGTTATTAAGTAAATCATTAAGTTAACACTAGTTCCCCAAATACAATTTAAACGCTTGACAAAATTGATATTATATATAATTTTAATATTAAGAAATAATTAATGTTTAAGTTATTGTTAATTTGATATAAGGCATAATTAGATATACAATTTGTAATTAAAAAATTTAATAATAATTATTATTCTTATTTACTCTCCTTCACATCGTTTCATAGAATTAATTATTTGGGTGATAATATATTTTCACTTCAATTAAAATCAATTAATCTGGTAAATTAAATTTCTTTGTGGATATATCACCTTAACCTTAATAATTTTGACTAATTCAGTATCTATAAAGATCCTGTAAAGAGGAGTGAAATTCTTGAGTTGAATAGAAACACCGATTCCTATTCCAAGACATAAAATAAGTTAGTAACTTAACAATTCCTTAAATTCTGAATTTTCATCACGCATTATAATATTCTATTTTTGTCCCAGCATAAATTAAATTATTATATAATTAATAAGAAATAAAAATGTAAACATTTGGTAAAAAAGATAAGAATACACAAACATTACTTAATGTTGTGCATTATTGCTCTCAATCATGATATTAGTGGATCTATTGGCTTTTAAAATTTAGATAATAATTTATCTGGTTTGAAAGTAGGCTATGAAAATTCATTAAGTCTCAAGGAGAATATGATAATTTAAGCAACATTAGAAATCATGATATATATATTCATAAGAATAATTGCAGAGAGATAAGTAATCCTGCATGTGAATGATACTTGTATATATTAAGGATGTGTTTGGATTGCTCAACATTTTATAAATCTAGATAGTTCAAAACCAATATTATTGAAATAGGTGATTCACTAGAGTTGACTTTAATATGCTTAAGATCCTTCTTTTAGATAATTCGAATAATCATCGCAATCAAGCAGCATTAAAAATTGTGTAGCATTTTTCAGAGCCCAGAAGGTCACGAAATTGGAGAATATGAAAATCATTCAGTTTGAACCATTTGATTTAGATAACTTAAGATTTTAAGCCAGTGTGTAAATTGATGATTACAATAAATCATATTCATTTATTTGATAATTCTATATTTATAATTATTATGTAAATTTATAAGCCCTCTCTTTCAACCTAGGGATTCAGACCTCAATCAACAGATTATTATCATCGGATTTAATCTGCTAACACAGCAAATACTATTCATAGCAATAGAACCATTCCTTAATAAACTATTTCATCCAATCGGAGTCAAACTAGAATTACAACTGCAAAACCTATTAGGTCATTTATCATCAGCAAAACTATTAAATCCAAACCCATTGAAGATGAAAATTTTGATGAAATCATTAAAACTTCTCATGATCAAGATCTATTTAGTATGTTATTTATTAAATTAGAGTTCAAACATAAATGTAATGCACCTTAACATTTAAGAATGGAATAGATCTATAGATTTATATATGATAAAAAGACAAGCAACAAGTAAAAATATTCTATGCAAAGTAAAATTAATTAGCAAGCCTTGCCTGTGGCTAGTGGCTCAATTAGTATTATGTTAAATGTTGCAAGAAAGGATTACGGATTTAACTTACAATCTTTCAAAAAGAAGATAGCTCCGAAATCTAAATTTAAAATGAAATGGAAAACTATTTAATGGTTATTAAAGAATAGGAAAGATGCCATTAGATAGATATTTTAAAATTATTAATCCATCATAAAATAAGCCAAGGACTTCCCTGATGGATTAAACAAAGAGGAATTTCAAGGATTGCTGATTTCTTTTGGTTTGGGGGCTGACAAAAATCTTGCAGAAAAATTGTTTTACGTTTTTGATGAGGATTCAAGTGGCACTGTCGATTATAAAGAACTTATAGTAGGATTAGAAGTGTTGAAAGACGATACCATAGATGAAAAATTAAAGAGTAATTAATTTAAACCTTAAATAGAATAGTCTTTTTTGATTTATGTGATGAAGATGGCTCTGGTAAAGTAAGTGAAAAAGAAATCTTTAACATCTTGAAGTAAAATATCATCAATGAAAATGATAAATATTAACTAAAAATGGTTATAAGAGAAATGATTAAATAAGTTGATTAAGATGGAGATGGAGAATTAAATAAAGAAGAAATCTTATAAGCTGCCAGCAAAAACCCCATTCTTCGGAGATTGCTCGAACAAACAATTTCTAATGTGAGAAGAATAGATGCGATCATTTAAAATGACTTAGAAGAACCATTTCACCAATTTGTACCATCTTCAGCTAATTTCATCTAATAAAAAGAAGGAATACATTTTGCAACTTAATAAAAATTAATCAATGCTTTAGAGGAAATTGATAAAGTAAATCTATTATTAAGTTTTAGATCCATGAAATGGGCTAGAAAATCAAAGAATATACAAAATCTGAAAATCAAATGGGACTTACTACCTATTAAGGATTGCAAGAGAAAAAATTTCTTGATGACTCTTAATTTGATTGATCATATTATTTTATAAATTTAATCATAAATTTATGTCAGCAACTGAAAATTTTAATCAAAGCTTTGATACTTAAGATCAACTTATTTTTTTAGAATGAAGAATAAAGAATATAATTAAAAATCACTAATTTTTATCTTCAATCTTTAGGTGAAATCAGTAATAGAAGAGATTGTTTGGATCAGTATCCTGTTCCTTTAATAAGAATTATGGATCAATAATAATATTATTATATAAAGTTAAAGTCCAGTAGAATAAATAAATGATAGATAATAGAGTTAAGCAAAATCGATAAATTCTAATACTTACGAATTGAATAAAAATGATGCATTATGATTTATAATTAATTAAAAAAATTACTTTTTAAATGATTTAATAGTTAAAATACAATTTATTATAAAAATTTATGAAGGATTAAAGTTCTGAATAAAACTCTGATCAATTAGATCAAATACACAATTTTAATGAACTTAAATCAAGTATCTAATAGGGATAGAGACTATATTAAAAGAGATTGTGATATTATTTTTATTCGCAATGGCGGAATTATGCAACACAGCAGTTTACGCTACTTGCAATCCTATAGCAGTGGAAGTAATAACTGTATAATTTAACAAAGCTAAGTTACATCTATGGGGAAGAGCCTTCAATAGTCACTATTTCTGCTACTTTGTATTTATTTATGCATCCATTATCTACATTTCCAGCTAGCTACTTAATTATGTACAAGGGAAGTAGCATGTCAGTAAAAATAGGCTCTATTTTGACTTTACTAGGGGTCTTTTCAAGGTGTTTAGTTAGATAATCGTAAGAATAAATAAATAAATGTAGTTTTATCTATGTTCTAATTGGTTAAACGTTGAGTGGAATAGGCAGACCATTAATTCTGAATGCTCAAGCTTCAGTTGCGGTGGAATGGTTTCCAACCAATCAGAGAACGAAATTAATGACCATGTTGAATTTCATAGTCACATTTAGTGGAATTTTGGGATATATTGTTCCACCCATATTCTTTGCTGGAATTATTATTGATGAGAAATCTCCTTAACATGTATTAGACACAGGAGATTCAAGATTTATGTATTTGCTATTTTCAGAAGCAGCATTTTCTATAGCATTCCTAGTTCCACTGTTAATCTTCATCAGCAGCTGCCAAAGGACCATCTTAAGTAATCTCTTTTACTGATAGCATTTGTTAAATGTTAAAAGATACTAAATTTGTAAAATACCTAATTCTACTTTTTAGATCCAAATATTTATTTCGTTCACTTTGTTTTATGGTTCCTACAAAGGGTATGGGGAGCTCTAGTATACATTTTGTTACCTTATGGATATGGTAAATCAGATATTGCAATCCTTTCGGTTATGCCTGTGATTGGAGGATTTCTTAGTTCCTTAATTATTCCTACAATTTATAAAAGTTGGGGAAAATATAAACCCATTATTATTATTCTGGAATTTTGCACTATTTTTACCTTCTATGGATTCCTTTGGGGATGCTATTTATAAAACTATATGATGATGCTTGCAATGGCAACTCTGCAAGGGTTCTTCATCTTGCCTGCAATACCTTTGTTATTGGAATGGGGTTGTGAATAAATATACCCATTAAATGATTCTTTCTGCATCGGATTACAATATTCAGGTGCCACTATGGGAAGTTCCTTTATTGCTTAAATAGTTAGTATGGTTATTTATGGCAAAAAAGCAACAAAGTACAATATTGTATTTATAATATTAGATTTGATGGATTTATGGGAATTACAATAATATGTGCATTATATACTTTAGCAATTCTAAGCATATTATTTCTCAAAGAAGTTAAACATAAGTTAGCGTTAAAAAAGTCATTCGTTTCTCCTTCAGATTAAATTGAAGAAGCCTTTCCGCATCCATACACTGAAGTAAATCCTCATGATTTGGGTCTATTTGATCCTGATAAGGTTAAGGATGAGGATGATGATACAGGAGGAGATGATAACTTAATTGAAAATGAATAAAAAGATCACGAATAAAATAATAATCATTCAAATCATAGATCATATCAAGCAGGAAACTCAATTGGAGGAGGGACAGGAGGTTTTATTGATGATTGATTTATATACATTTAGGTCCAATAATATAACTAATTAGATTAATGATTAATAATTTATAATTATTTGAAAACCAAGGGAATCTAAATCAAGATCATAATAAATTAAATTAAAAGAGTATTGTTTAATATATCTAAGATAATACTATGTTCAATCTAATAATAATTATTCTCATAGAAGACCATCTAATCTTCCTTAGCCATTTTCCAGCTAAGGACTTACTTATCCTAAATTTCCTAAGGTGTTTATAATATTTTTGGTTTTTATAATTTTGGTCCCTTGAATTGTTTTTCCAAAAGGTTTTTTTATGGTCTCCATTAACTTAAACCCTTGCAATTTTTCTCCTAGCCTTTTTAATTTCCACCCTTTTTTAATTGTCATAAAATAAAATGAGTATTTTGATGATTCAGGATATTATCTTTTTTTACCAAAATATTTTTGTATTCTTGCATATCTTTTGATTATAATATCATAATTGCTAAATGGAAAAAAATGAGTAAACATCTACATTTTGTCAAACTGAGAAAATATTTAAGGTATAGTTGGTAAGTAAGTTTGATTATCTATTGCTGAAGTCATGTTCTGATTGCCTTCTGTAGGTTCTTGAATTTATTTTGTGTTTGTTTTAGTTGTTGAGTGTTTCTTTCCAGCTTATCTTTTCATATTAGTATTGTTATTATTATTGGTTTGTATTTCAATTTCAGAAGCCAACCTATCAGGAGTAGCAGTTCTTTTCAAGATGTCTTATTATAATCTATTCTGAGTAAGTGTTCTAGATAGAAGAGAAGCTTGTCTGGGTATTTCTTCAGATGATTCTTTTCTAATAAAAGTGATTTTCTATTTTTGTGTTCTGTCGGATGTTTTTTAAACTGATGGTACTATAATTTGATCTTTCTCCTCTGATGAAGATTCTTCAGAAATTGGTTATTCTATCTCATAATCTTTAGTTAATTCAAACTTTTTGCTTTCCCTTAAACTAGCACTTCCGAATCCTGCTGTCTACACTGTTCCTCTTGGATTAACTACCTTTCTTGTATATAATTTTGATTCATCATCTTCCTCATTGCCGACTTGATTAGGCTTTTGACTAACTCTACTCAATGTTCTTGAATTACTCCTTTGATTCAGTGTTGAAGGTACATCAATTTCAACTAAGGACAATAATTAAAATTTCATACCTTTTGATTCGTCTTCATAAGTGTAATTGTCATTAGCCATTTGTGAAGGTTATTCATTTTCCTCATTTTCATTATCGGTTGGCTATTAGTAAAAATCATTTTAAAAGTCTTTAGCTCTCTAAACTAAATATTTAAGTTGATTCCATTTGTGTTTGTATGACTTTGCACCTCGAACTATGGTTCCGGAGCGAGGTTGACTATAAGGATAAAGTTCTTTCTTTAATATTGCTTCCTTATCTGCACAAAAATGGAGGTAATTGCAAGAATCAATTAAATGAGAAGTGCTTTAACAACTGTAGCATTAAATCTACAAAGAATTAAAATCCCCTTATTTTAATTAATGTTTCACTTCACAAAACTTTTCATAATCATTAGGAAATGAGGATAATATCTTCAAGAAGTTTTCTCTTTTTATTTTAAATACTTTTGTGAATCCTCTGGAAATGGCAGTGCATTTTCTAGGTTCTCCTGTAAAAAATTAAAGTTCACCAAAAAAATCACCTTAAGAAAGATATTTCAAACTGTTCCTTTTAACTCTTTCATTGAGACTGTTCATGCCTTCAAATATTAATTCAATTTCTCCTTTTGTAATTATATATAAACAACCATCATCAATTTAATTAATAGTAATTATCCTCTCTTCAGGTGAAAAACTCTGTTCTTCCATTTATCCTAATAAACTCTTAATCATTTTTTCAGAAAATATCTTGACCATTACTTTACAATTTCTGAGTATATTTCCTCTTAATTAAAATTAGAGTTCATCTTATAAATGACTGCTTAATTTACAAATGATTTAAGAAACTTCATCATCATTCATATTTTATTCCTCCTACCAGATATACTCCAAGTAACTTCTTATTCTAGTCTGAAGTTCAAATTGAATTCTATTTTTAGACATAAAAGTATTGATTAGAGTAACACTTCTACTGTATTCCATAGTTCCTTTATACATATTTGACACAAATATTCCTATACTATTTACTGAATAAGCAAAAACTATTGATGCTATAAACATTGTCAGATTATTAATCAATAATTCAGCATCATTCTTTGCAGTTATATCTCCATATCCCACTGTTGTCATTGTCATGGTAGCCCAATATATAGCTGTATTGTATTTGGATCCATTTCCTGAATCTCTCAAATTATAAGCATCCAACCAAGAGTAAGAATCATTATAAAAGGCTACTCCATGCCATACACATGCACAAATATGCGCAATAAATAATATGATCATTGTGAGTTTTAGTAACCCAACTAAATCATTCAGTGATCCATTTAAATTGAAAAATCTTATATATTATTTAATAAATACTCTTGTATTTACGCTAAGATTTTATTAATTTTCGTCATTCTCAAGACGTAAAATATGGCACAAAATATGATCTGAAGGGTCAGGTTATTGTCAATATCATGATCTTATTAACTGTCATTTAAAATAAAGAATTGAATTGTAACAGTGCTTATTGAGACCTTTTATACTAATATACATCTTTATATTTACAAGGTCTACAAATGCATATTGCTTAAAGTAATTAACTATGATTCTTTTTCTGTCTTTGATTATTATTCCTTTATAAATGAATGCTAAATTCAATCCAATCACAACATCAAAACTTAGAATTGTCAAAAGGATGATCTCAATCATTTGATTTTGTGATTTTTGGTTTAGGAGTTATCCGATGTTTTCTAATTAAAATGAGATCTTGTAGGGCAGCCAAAAAAATATCAACACATATGTGAAAATTTAAAACAAATCCCAAATAAAAATTAATTTACTATATGGGGTGAATACTTCTAATTAAAGGAAAAACTTCCTAATAATTTCACAAATGTTGATTTGCTTCTTGGTACTATCTTCTTCTGCATAAACTTCATTTTCAAATTATAAATCATCTAGTGCTTAAATTTAAAATGGAGTTAGCTGATGCAATTTCCTTAAATAGCTTCTGTTCCATAAATTATTTATGAAGTTATTTTGTAGACTTTTAGAGATAATAAGTTTTAAAAATTATGGCTTACCTCCAGTTTCTAACTCTTCATCAATAGCATAGGCGGACTGATATTCTGACCGTTTCAATCCTTTATATGATTTATGCATATCAATTGGTACAGCATCCACTAGGTCTTTGCTTTAGTCTTAAACTTTTGATTGGTCTCGAACAGTAAATGAGTTACTGTCTGGAGATTTTTAGCAGATATCCCCATCTCCAAGTAAAATTCTTTGAGAAACCATCATCAAATTGGGACCATGAAAGTTTTCCACTTAAAAAAAGATTATTAATTACATTAGTCTATTGAGTCACTCATTATTTTAATATATATATAATTAATGAGATTTTAATTTAGAAAACTTCTATAAAATTGATATAATTATGTTTAATTTAATAATGCTTTAACAACATTTTTATCCAATAATTGTTAATACAATATTTAATCAAAATCTTAGAGATTTCAAAATAATATCATTTTATTTTGAATTATAAGTTCTAAGAATTTATTCATTTCTATCAAGTGGATGTTTGTATTTTTTAATTTATGTATTTGGTAAAGTTTTTATTCTTTTGGAAATGTTCACATCAGGTTTTTAGTCGCAATTGAAAATTTCATTAATATAATTTCTAATCATACAATTAGTTCTTCCTCTGATATAAATTTCATAATTTTTTGATTTGATCATGTTTTCAAATCCATTAACTCTCTTTGAAGGTGTCTCAAAATCAGCTAGTTTGTCTAAATGTTGTGCTGACTTTTTCATATAAAAAATTTTGTTCTAAACTGTGTTGTTTATAGATTAAAATGATTTTGATTTGACCTCGTTTCTAATTAGACCTTTTGCTCGTTTAACTACAAGGGTTTTCGTATTACATCTTAATAATAATTTTTTATTCAATTCTTCATGCTCATCTGTTGGCATAAACAAATCAAGACGCTTCTCTTTATCCGAAGCAAGCCAATAATCAGTACTTTTTCTTCTTAGTTCTGGTTCCTTAAATAATTGTCTTTTTCGAAATGACTAGTTTTTAAATTTGGCTAATTGCTCCTTGAACCCTACATTTAGGATTGTGGATATTCTGTCCTCTGATGTTATCATTTGTAAATTATTAAATACAATTAGATCTAATATTCTTAATTATCTTTAAAATCTTTAATTATTTGTAATAAATAAGTAAGATCCCATCATAGAAAGAACAAATAACGAACTACATAATAATAATTAATATAATAAGTCAAGTCTTAATAAATATATTTTATAATTTAAGATAAAAACTACTATATTATTCAAATTATTAGGATGTTTGGAAAAAATATCTATTCCGATGCGATTCCTAATTTTCCTGATATCTCAGAAGATTATTTTGATATTAAGAATGAAGAAACAATAAATGAATTAATGGATCTATATCATTCATCAAAATAAGTAATACCAGTGAATGGATAAGTTTCAAGTCAATTTAGAGAAAAATAATAAGGATTGATAAGTTTATTTGATTTGCTAGACAATCAATTAAAATCTAATTTATGCAAACCAGATATTTATCAACCTGATTAAATAGATTGCACTATTAATACTCCATATCATAATTTTGACTATTATAATCTATCCAATGTAGAGTAGGATCAAAGTGAAGCTTAACAAGAAGCTGCTAAGTACTTAAGCAATAAAACTAATGATTTATAGGGAAAATTTGAGTAGATGCAGATTGAAACTAAACAAATTAACAAATAATTATAAAATGGAAAATTAACAAAAAAAATGGAACTCTTATCTTTTTATGATGAAGAGTGTAATGATTGATATTTCATTTAATTTCTGTTGTTTATATTGTCAAATATTTTTATTAAATTTTATGAAAAGTGTAATTGAACTAGTAAAAATACTTCTCTAAATTAATAGCTGAACAAATGTAATTATTCAAAAAGGCGAATCCATAATTTTGGACAAATTTAAGACGGAATCCTATTCGCATAATTGGAAGATGAATTGTAATATATAAATCCTCCAAAATTATTATAGCTTTAAAACCGACTTGAAAAAACATCTCTGGAACTTGATTATTACTCATTTATAAAGGATAAGAAGAAATCATAACCTATATACTAAAGAATTTAAAGAAGATATTGCTAATTCTGATTGTAATGAAGAATTAGCTAAGTTTATCAAATATTTTCTAGAAACTATTTTTTATGTAAATAAAGAGGAAGCCATTTACTATATGAAATAATGTACAGTTAATTAATAAGAAGAGATAGTATAATTTTTGTAAAATGATATGTTGGAATCAAATAGTCTATAAGACTTAGGACCATGTGAGTTTTAAACAACAAACACTATTATATCACTTGAAGAAAACCTGTATAGTAAGGATAATATCATCATTTAATAAACTAAATAAATTGAGTAGTTGAAATATGATTATCAAAATATCTTAGACGATATGAAAACCAAAATTGATAAGCAAGAAGAAACAATTGAAAAATTAACAGCTCAGGCTAACTTTTTCTTAGAAAAGGTCATTTGTGATGATTTTGAAGAAGCTTGCTTTAAATTTCAAGAATTTGCCAAAGATTAAGAAAAAAATAAAAAGTAAATTGAAGAACTTAACAATTTAGTGTAAAATTAATAAACTGAAATTTTGAATAAAAGGAAAAAAAATTAAAAATTGAAATCATAATTATCATCTAATCAACCTACTGAAAGAGCATTAGATTATGAAACTACAGATCAAAAAGATTCTTCTGAAACTAGAACTATTGAACTTCTTAAAAAGGATATACAAAATTAAAAGGATGAAAATCTAAAACTTTTGAGTAAACAAGCTGAATATGAATAATAAATTAGTAAGTTTAGAAAAAAATTATATGAATAAGAACAAGAAACTGCCTAATATAAAAAGAAGACGGAAAAGTATAAATTAGAATTAGATGAATATTTAAATTCAAATTAACAAGAAAAAAGGACATTTTTGGATGGTCATAGACCTTAAGGGTTATTGTCTTCCAATACCAGTTAGATTATAGAAATAGAATAAAAATTTGGGGTGTCCCCATAGTTAAATGGCTTTGAAATTAATTAATCATTAATTAGATATGAACATCCTGTTAGCTATATAAATTAATCTTTTAAAAGTCCTGATGAAAATAATGTAGCTAAGCTTTAATTGCAAATAGCAGAGAAAAATAACAAAATTGCCAATTTAGAAAAATAAATCAATGTAATTTAACACGGAACTCATTCAAGGGGAAGTTCTTTGACAAAGTTCAGCCAAATGTAATAGGAAAGACATGCTGAATACTCCAATTTATTAGAAGTAATTAAATTTATAGACTTTTAGAATATTGGATTTTATATACAGTATACTAGGATAAAAGACCAAGAAGTAAAACAAATAAAAGAGTAATAAAATGAAAATTTCTAAACAATTTGTAGGTAATTAATCTAATAAAATCGATAAATATAGAAATTGAATGCTCTCATCTTTGAGTTTCAAAATTAAGAATAGGTGAAGGAAAATAGTCAAAATTAAAATGAAGATCCATTAAACCTACATCAATATTATATGTAAGCCTTAAGTGATAAAGATGAATTATTACAATTAATAACTACAATATTCTATGAAAATGTAAAAATTTGAACATTTATTTTTGTTTTTACTTTAAGAAATCATTTTAAGAATTCTTAAATTTTAATTTATAAAATAAATTTTTTAGCCTTTAATCTATTTTAAGTTATTTTGGACTTAAAATAATAAAAGAATATTATATTTTCAAAACAAACCATTCATTAATCTGGAAATATAACTAAAAGTCTTTTATCATATTAAATTGTGAATTTATTAAAATAATTAAAAAAATATTATAATCCTATTAATGATGAATGTAAAGAAAGATTCAATGTCTTCGCAAACTCCTTAATTACATTAACTCTCTAATGTTTTTGAGATAATAGCAAGATACAGTATTTTATGTTCAGAGGACAAGTACTTACTATATTTTTAATCCGAAGTTATATTTAAAAACAAAACATCGCACAATTAAGTAAATACGAAAAACCTCGCTAAAAAAGGTCACAATCTTTATTGCAGCAAGTTTTAGAAAAAAAAAGTGAACTATTATCAAATTTCTAAAAAAGAAAAAGCTTTATGCAGAAAAGAAGAAATATTATCTGATTATCCTAAAATATATTTCTTTATTATATTATTAAAAGTTGATATTTATCAATCATTAATGTATTTCAGAATCCTTAAAATATTCATATACATGTTAGTAAGAGTCAAATAATTTGTTGAGAATTGAGATTCAAAGTTTTATTTTATGTTAAAATTATAATGGAACTAAAAAGCGTATTTAAATTAATAAATAGTTTTAGTTATTCATTAATCATTAGATCTCACTCATTATGAAGCCTGTCTAAATATGAATTTTTAATAATTTGAACTTTTTAAAAATTTTGAATGAGAAAATCTAGAGTTGTACATAATTTTTTATAAATTAAATTATAAAGTATCAATTACTATTCAAGAGAATACAAATTATAATACATAAACTAAGATAGACTTGTTTTATTGAAAAAATACCTTAAAATAATTAATCAATAAATAATGTAATAAACCATTTCATTAAAAATCTTTTAACCTAAAAATAAATTAAAAATTATTAATTGAAAAAAATTTAAATTTGAATTAGATTGAAAATTACTCATTCAATTTACATTCTTTGAATAAATCTCCCCTTAAAGAATTTTAAAGGAAATAATCAAAGGTTTACTTTATTGAGGATTGAGTAATATTTTTTCGTTTAAGATGTTAAGTATTTGAATCCAATGCTTTTATTCTTCATCTTCTAATTTTTGATTTTTTTTGATATTATTCAAGGTTTATATATATTCATTAAGCCATCCATTTCTTAATTCAAAAAATTTTTATTCAACTTCAGAATTACCTAAAATAAAAATATGATTACTTCGAACTTTTAAAAATTTGTTTTATTATTCATCATTAAATAATTCTGACTCCATGCATAAGATTGAAAATCTATCAAATGATAGATATTTCTCTTCATCTAGTTACATGTCAGCTGCTTCTTCAAAAGTTTCTATAAGTTTAGCCTCATCATATTTCAAAGGTTCTATATACTTATTCAATAAGATCCATTCATGAACATCTACAAATCCATTGCCATCTAAATCACAAGCATTAAATGCATTAATAACATATAATTTAGTTTTTTCAATATTATTCCTAAATACTACTAAAACTCTTAGCATCATTTAATCGAAATCAATAATTCCACTTTTATTCTTATCGTCTGATTCTTTCAACTATTCTATTTCTTATTTCAAATAGTTCATTTCTTCTCCAGAAAAATACCAGTTCTATAAACTTGAAACGTATGCAAGAGCTCTAAGATAAGGAACATAGAATTTTAGATTATACTCATTTTCTTTAACTTAAACCCCTAGCTAATGTTAATTTTGTATGAATTCATGTGCTTAAAGATATTTCTATTATTCCTCTACAGTATAATTAACTTTATCTTCCAATAATCCTAAGAATTTGGCAAATATGTTGACTCTTATGATATTTAAATATTTTTTGATTGATAAAATCAGAATTAAGAATCTTTACTCAGTAATTTTAGTATATCCAAACTACTATAGAAAATAGTTATAGATGTATGAAGCCATATCTTAGTCTCTTAATAGTTTATTTTCTCTTTAATTATATATTTTATCTTAATAAATTGTATAAATGAATTTAAGCACTAATTTGATGGGCATGTAGTTTGTGAATTTTGATGGATTTTTATTTTTTACTTTTTCTATGAGTAATCTTGATTAATTTCTTTGAAACTCATAAGATATTGAAATCTAAGAAGTGTTATTTAAATGTATACCTTGCTACCCAGATTTCTAATTTTTCTAACTTTTCTTCCTTATTTACTTTAAGTTTTCTCTAACAGAGTGTCATCTATTTAAATCTCAGTATCTGACAACATCTCAAGAGGTCTTTAGAAATTACTCTAATTTTCTAATAACTCTAATTTTTTTAATAGTTCTTAAATTTCATTTTTTAATTATTGGTTTTCCTCTCTGATTTGAACCTTGTCTTTGACTATTTGAATTAATTGCGAATTCAATTCAGTAATTTCTTATTTTTAGAATGCTGATAATTTATCTATTTCCAATTATCTTTCGTGTAAATATTTCATGAAAGATACTAAATCATTTCTATTTGAAGAGGAGCTTTTATCGAGTATATTAAAAGTAGAAGCTGGCTATTAGGATATCATCATCGTATTATACTAATTTTCATAAAGGTTTTGGTTAATTTCTTAACTAGATTTAAAGGGATTGTCAGTTTGGATTTCATCATTAAATGAGAGGAAAAAATCTATATAATGTAGAGTGTTGTCAATGTAGTCTTAAGAAATAACATCGTATTTTCTATCCATCAAGGAAATATGTGTTTGTGTTTCTGACATTGAAAATAGATCGCACATCAATTCAAAGGTAGTCTAAGTTTCTTTAGATCGATATTCGATTATTGTATCATGATTCAGAATAACTTCATCTAATCGATATTCGCCCATATCTATGCTATCTGAATAGTTATCTAAAGAAAAGGAATCAGATTTAATCATCATGAGTTTTTCCAAATTTTGAGAGTTCGATAACGAATCTACTGATCGCTTAATGCTATCTAAATCATCTTGACCTTCTTCTCTTTGTGAGTTCCCCATGGTTTGTTTGTTTCTGGTATTTAAAATCTTTATTTTTCGAATAAGATAATTTTTATCTTCTTGTAATTTTAATATTTATTAGTGTTTTAAACTAATTTCTTTTGTTTTTAAGGTTAACTTTTTGGTTAATAGATTATTCTTATCAACTATGATAATGAAGTTAGTTTCTAAATCTTTGATTTTAGATTACAGTTGTGCGACTTCTTAATTAAGATTATAAATTTGTAATTCATATTAAACCTTTTTTGAATTAAAATTCCTATCAATTCGGTGAATTTCTTCTTGTTTTTCAATTTAAAATTTTCTTTCATTAATATTTAAATCTATTTGTTACTCATTTAATTCAGTATTTTTAGCTTACATAAATTTATTAAATAATGATCCTAATTCTCGAAATTCCTATGACAGAGTATCGGCAATAAATCTTTCCGTTTATTCAAGCAGAGAATTTCTATTTTCGTTATTAATTTATTCTGTAAATAAATTTTCGATTTATTGCATTTATCGTCTTTTTTAAATATATGTGGTATTGAAGTTAATAGACTTTTCTCCTGTCACAGAATTATGTCTAGGAGATGCAGGGGATGTTGGCGAAGATAAGAAATTTTTTTTCTCAAAACTATCAATCACAATACTTTATAGACAATTTTAAGATGCTTATTAGCGAGATCTTAAAAATCTAGTAGTTTCTTTCAATATTATTAAATATGGTTACATTAGCGTTGCCTACTTTTCTCTTTGTAATCTTGTATTATTTTTTGAGAATCAATTTTCTAAATCTGATCATGAACTAATGTTTTGAAAGTCTTCGGATTATTTCTTTTCAAATTTATGAATGCCTTTTAAAAATTACTTTTAGGACTGTAAAACTTTGAACATGTCGCTATCTCCATTTATTATTTATATTTATTGCAAATACTGAAAATATATTTTTGATTTGTTTTCTCATAGTATATTTAATAATAATATTTTCTTTTTAATAAAGACCATGTTATTGTCATACAAAGAATTTTTAAAGAATGCGAAGATCATCCTTGGTTCACAAAGCAAAGGAAGGCAGGGATTGTTAAAAATGGTCGATTTATTTAAATTTGAAGTTTTTCCTTCAACTTTTGAAGAAAACTTAGATAAATAGATTGATCCACTAACTTATGTTTAAAAGACATGCGAAGGCAAAGTCATAAATCTTCTTGAAACATTCAAATAAAACAATTAATAATGGGACATTTGCATATTTGCAGACACTGTGTGTGAGATAAATGGAAAAATAATAGAGAAGCCAAATACAAAAGAAGATGCATACAATTTTTTAAAGTTGTTCAGTAATTCGCTACATTTGGTGCACACTTGTGTATATGTTGTTGGAAAAAATGAAAAAAATTAAATATTCTAATTGAATGGGGTAGAAACTACAGAAGTCCACTTTTAATGCTTGCCAGAAAAGAGTATTCAAATTTATGTTGAAGATGAATCGAATTGGAAAGGAAGAGCAGGTGGATATGCAATACAAGCTTTGGGTAATATGTTCATTAAAAAAATAAATGGGTAAATTATAAATAATATATTATGTAGTGATTATTCTAATGTTATCGGATTGCCTTTACCAGTATTGGATAAATTGATGTCTGAAATAATAGAATTATTGCTAAAAAAGGATTGAGTTTTGAATTTATATATAAACTGAGATCATCCTTTAATAATTCCTCAATATAGTTTTATTGGGCTATACTTAAGAATATTTAATAATAATATTTGGTTTTATTATAATTATTATTCATCAATAAAATAAATTTATATGGTTTTCACTTACGCATAAAATACTCTTATTATCATAATCAACACAATATGTTGCTACATTCCTTCTTTGATCTAAATATATCAATTTAACATTTACTATTTATTTCATGCAAGAGAGTAGTTATTCTGTAATCATAAATTCTCACTTTTGTATCAGAAGATTGGATTAACACTATTCCTGATTAGAATTGAATAAGTCTCTAGGGTAAAAATTGAATTGTAAACACTCGAACTTGTACTTTCTTGTCGCAATCCCATTATCGAAATGTTTTATCCAACCCACAAGATAAAATTTGATTTTCTTCAGATATTGCTAATATTCCTGTAACACTGTCTGTATGACCACTAAATTTAAAAATTGGTCTGCTATATTTATAATTTATGCCATCCCATAATCTAATTGATTTATCTTATGATCCCGAAGCTATTAAATTTATTTTCTTAACAAAAGCCACACTATACACATCTCCAGTATGACCTGAATATGTAAAGAAGTATTATCCATTATCATAATTCCAAACTCTAACAGTGTTATCAGCAGATCCTACTAAGAGTCTAATAATAATAATAAGATTTTATTTACAGATTAATTATTTTCGATTTTGATACTGAAATTCCTTCACAGACTGTTAAACATAATGCTTAACTAACCTATTATTCTAAATCAAATTTAAGTGTAATTTGAAAGGCTCTATCAGTTTCTGAATAGAATTTTTCCCATATTTTTAGTACTTTATCTTAACTACTTGATACAAATAATTTCTCATTTAATCCTTTTGCCAATATTTTGACACTATCTTTATGAGCATCTAATGAAAATAATTCATCAAATGAATTGCATTCATAAAGTACTAGTTTACCACATTTAGTTCCAATAATTACTTAGCTTTCAGATGATAAAATAGAATTAACTACATATTATGATTAAAATTAATTTTAAATCGTTATTTTTTTAATTTATTCAACTGAAATATTGCCTAATTAAGATGACATAGATTAATTTACTGATTTAATTTCATGCTATTTGTTTACAGGTTTCGATTTAGGATCGAAAATCAATTAAATATCATTTTCAAATTACTGAACATCAATCGAAGCAAGAGTTTTCATAAATTGTTTAGCAAATTCTTCTAATATTTAAATGGTATTAGTTTATAATGATAGTATTTTCTAATGATTAATTTTATCTGATTTAATAATAGCACTTTGTAGTGAAGTTATAGATTCAATACAATCGAAGTCATCCTTTTTCCTCATTTCTTAGATCTTTTATAACAATTTCTGATTCTCTTCCATCTCAGTTTGATGCTACTCTGCTTTCATTCTCAATTTATATAGATTCTACAATAACACTGATTGGATATTCTAACATAATTGTTCTAAGAAACTGATTGTGTTTTTTTTGAATTCGGTGATGATATCCAAATACTTCTGTTCTAATTGATTCAAATCTTGATGCATGTCTTCTTCTTAAATCAGACTCTAAGCTAGAGATTCTACCAAATCAATATCGATGATGCTATTGTTTTACAACGGTTTTGTAGTATTATCTATGACTTACTATTGCAGATCTGATGGTAAGAGACAGAGAGGACATTAAAGACGATCCAATTTTTTACTATAGAAAGAGCACTGCTTAAAGGGGTGGATTTAACAATTCATAAATTTAATGAATAATTTATACGTTCGAATATCTCTTATATGTGGTGCTTTGTCAACCTCTTATTTTGTGAAGTAGTATTTTGAAGAGACGTACTTTCGGAGACTCCGATTCATCAGAAAACTGGCAAGAACCTATTTTAAGAAAGATGATGGAACAGAATTGTTCGATGATCAGATTATTGGCAATGTGGTTGCTAGAAGTGACGGAATGCATCTTCACTTTGGTAACATGAAACAATATGTCGCCTAAAAGTTTTCTACGCCTACAGCAATCATTTATGTATAAAAAGTGGAAGCTATCAAAAAAATAGTATAAAAAGCTGCTAAATATGGATTCAAAGTTACTACAATGGATGTTGATAGTATTGAAGACTACAAACAATAACTTTAAAATAATCTCAACTTATCCCAAAAAGAAATCAAGAGACTTACGTATTGTAAACACCCTTTTTTGATCATCAATCTTCGGAAGGTTCAACATAAAGAATATGATTCATAAACTCAAATTGTCAAAGTGGGAGTAGGAAATCGAATACAAGACGTGAATTAATTCTTGGCATAATACGGTAGAAGAATTCCATTGTCAGGCTAATAAAGACTATTTACAGTATTAAGTGACAATTCTACTCCCTTGGATTCTGTAGAGTTTGATAATCTTAACTAAATTGTTACTGGCTTGGTTGCTATTTCACCAATGTCTCACTAACTCTAAACTGAAACACCCACAGCTTCTTCGATCATCAATTAAATGTTTATTGGGCAATAACATAGATTTGGAATTGTATACGAAGTTTCTCTAAAAACCGAATCTTTGGAATTACCTGTTAAATAAGAGATTAATTTAGACAAAAGATATATTAGTAAAACTAATTTATACTACCTATTCGATTCATTAATTAAATTATCTTAATAACACAGACAAAAAGTAATAATTTTAATAAATTGATTAGATTTAATTTCTTTATGATTGTTATTCAAATTAATATAAAATAATCTAACAAAGTACATAAAACCTTCCAGATTTGAAATAAACCTTAGACAATGTAGTTGATAAATATGTCACTAGATAACTATGGAATCACAATACTAATAAATAGATCAAGAATAATAGTATCAATCATAATTTAAATGAGGAGGTGTCTCTACAATTAAAATATTAACTTTCTTCCTCCCAATTATTATCGTGTTTATTATAACTCAAAGAACTATAACTGAAATAACAATAACAATAATTTTAGGTTCAAGTTGATTTCAAAACTGGATTTCTAACAGTTAATATTGACTAGAATTTGCCATCCAACGAGAAATTGCAAATGGTCAAATCGTTTACCCACTACATAAGTAACAGAAAGGGTAAATTTATTCAATGCAATGACAAATTAATTAACAGAATGCTCAAATTAGAAACATATCCTATGGAATTAGGATTGAATTCTATGAGGTTGGAGCATTAATTTGCTGAGCTTTTAGATAAAAATAAAGTTATGTTTCATGAGTTTTTATAACATACTGAGTTAGATGAACAAATTAGTTGAGTATCCAAACTGTAAATTATCGATACAAAATAAATAAAAATTCATTTATATTTTGCACGAAAACTGCTAATGTTCTTCTCATTCAATATAAAAGAATGACTGTCCAATAATTCATTCATCTCCTTTACAAAATTTATTAAAGATTAGGAGTTTTGTTGTATTTATAAACTTAATATGGTATTGTTATTTTCTAATTCCTTCAACTTAAATGAATAAATAACAAGTTTACTCGATTTTCTTAATTAGAATTCTTGGTTGAAGAAGGTTATCGCTTTAGTTCCAAAAGGTCACTTTCATATCTCTGAATCAACTTCATTTTTTATTATAGTTTAATTGTACAATCGCTCTCTCTCTACTTTTATTAATACAGTATTCCTTCTAACTCTTCATTCTTTTTTCTCTGCCTATCTATGTCTTCATCCTTCTGATTCAATTTGAATAAAAATTCTTTCTTCTATTTCTCGTTTTCCTCTTTTAGTTTCAGTTCCTAATTTCTAGCTTTTGAAATTATTTAAATTTTATGAAACGCTTAGAAATTCAACTGATTATATACCTATAAACTAATTCTCTTGAGCGTGCTTTTCACAAAAATTAAATAATCCATTTAACTTCAGCTTCATTCTTTACGCTATCGATAATGCATTTATCATAAGAGAATGCTTTTAATTTGTTGAGCTATCCTTAATTTGAAATAGAGCATACGACTTATCATTATTTTATCTGAAATTATATTAGTCAATTACTTTTATCGCAAGATCGATGCTATTTTCAATAATGCTGCATCCATTTTAGTGAAGATCATTTAATATTTACACATCATACCCATTGTTTCTAATTACATCATCTATTGTTTATGCTATTCATCCATTGTATTACCTTCTTGGCAATTATCGTTCGCACTCATTGAATTTCAAATAAAATATTAATATATAAGCATAATACATAAAATGCATTCTTATTAAACATTGTACAAGCAGGTTGTATTGATAATTACAGTTTGTACATATCTATGAAGTGTAAATTAGAGATTTTCCTCAATCAATTAAGGTTAGAGAGGATAAAGATAGAATATTTTATCCTCTTCACAAATATACATCATTTGATATGGTTGTAAAACATTTATATCTATATGTCCATATAATAATATTTCTTAATTTCAGGGTAATGGTCAAAGTTAAATGGAAATTTTTCTTTTTCTGTAACTCTTAAATAAATTGGCTTTAGTAATAATTTTATATCGTTAACTCAAAAATGAATTACATAAACATTGTTAAATAACATAATTAAATTTATATATAAAAATATCTAAAGAAACTTTAAATTAATAAACTGATATAAATCTGATTAGAAAATACATCAAAGGGATCTAAAAGTGAAAAATTATTTAAAATTTACATATAATAAAACAATGGTGCGAAGATCAAAATCTATGGAGAGGACAATAAAAGAAGGAAATGAATATCTTTAAAGAATGGAATAAGTAGATAGAGCTCGATAAAGGAACTAAAATGGATAAAAAAGATAAAGGGAGTTGAGAGGAGCACAAGAGTAAAAGAAACAAAAGGAATCCCCCAAGAAAATAGTTCAATAAAAATAAGTTCAGGTAAAAAGAGAAAAATAGGAAAAATAATAAAAAAAAACAAAAGACGATCTTAAAAAATAGTCATAAATATCTATCTCTAAATCTTCAAGAAAAATCGAAAAAAAAACCCCTATTTAATTGTAAAAGGGTTAAAAAAATGACCTCATTAAGTAAAACGTTTAAACACAATTACAACCTGAGAAAAGAAAGAGTAATAATGAGATGGAAGTAGAAAAGAAGACTGAAAAAATTGTTGCAAAGAAATAAGAAATGAAAATAGAAAAAAGTATCCCCAAGCCTTAATAATAATAATAGTAGTAACCTAAGTAGGGACCTAGAAAAACAAAATCCAATATATCTGCAGCTTCGGATGCCAATTAACCTTCAATTGGAATGGTTGACTGTGTTTTTGTTGTAGATACAACAGGGTCAATGGATGTTTATTTGGAAAGAACAACAGATGCAGTTGAAATGTTAGTTGAAAGAATAAAATAATAGTCAAAAAATGAATAAGTGAGTGTGAGATTCGGATTAGTATGTTATCGAGATCATCCTCCTTAAGAATTAACTTATGTTACAGAATTGCATGATTTATGCTCTAATAGGGAGATACTAAAAGCAATTTAGAAATCGGATTGCTCTGGAGGAGGAGATGGTGCTGAAGCTGTCTTGGATGGACTGAATGTAGCAGCATAATAAATAAGTTGGAGAGATAGTAGCAAGATTCCTAGTCTCAGATACATATTCCATATTTGTGATCAACCACCCCATGGAAAAGAATTTGGTGGGTATAGTGAATTATGGGACTAGACAGGGTGTCCCTGTGGTTTAAAACCTGATTAAATAATTCATAGAATCAATATGAGATAAATCCACTACAGGTTGATTAAGGCGGATCCCACAAGATTAGAAAAATTTGCTGACTATTTCAGGGGGAAGGTTGTGAATTATGATGAAGTCACTCTCGAGAATGGAGTTGCAGATGGCATGGAGATAAAAATCAGTGATATGGTTATCAGAGAGCTTTGCCCAGATATTCTTCTTGATTGATATACATTTATTATAAATTATATTTTATAAAAAATGAATGAAGGAATTTTCAATGATTTCAATGAAAAAGAACAAGTGTTCGAATTTACTAAAGGGAATTAAACATACATCAGAGACATGGGAACAGTTACTGATTATAAAGCGAAGAATTAAGGAACAACTACTAAAAAAGAATGTCAGGATTTTGAAGTACTATTCTTTATATTCAGCAATAAATAGACTAAAACGAATTATAATAAACAAAAGGAAAGCTTTTTATAATGCAATTTGATTCAAATAAATTGGCTCAATTCTTAAAACGAGTATTACCAACAGTTATAAAAGAATTGGATGAATCATTGAATTTGAAAAAATACCATAGTAAAAATAATATCCATTTAGGTTACAAACCAATATCTGATGTCCAGAGGAAAGAAACTGAATTAGTTTACGTTCTAACAAATGCTTAAAATAAACCTGTAGAGTTGGAAAAGAAATTAGAAATTACTGATATACAATGGAATTCTAATGGGTTGATGATAGCTGCATCTTATGGTTGTTTAGAACATATGGGGTAATGCTCCCATACGTCTTACATAAATTGTTGGAACATATTCAAAAGAGATTTCAAACCTGACAAACCAACCACCGTAATTGAGACTAATACTTGCAATATGTGCATGCAATTTCATCCAACTAAACCGAATATTTTAGCAGTTGGAAGCTTTAATGGCGAATTGTATCTTTATGATGTTTCTACAAATTCAGAATTAGCTCATTCCACTATTGATGAGTATTATCACAGAGAAAGTATAACTGCTGTCCTTTGGTTATAAGATGAGTCAGTATAAAATAGATATTATGTAGATCATGACTTTGGGGTGTGAAGGCAAAGTATTGATATGGAATCCAGAAAGGGGAAATGGTGAATTTAGTTTGCAGAACCCCTTGAAAGGTTGTTATCTGGTAAGAAAGAAGGAGTCTCAAACTGAAAGTGTGGGAGGAGTTTGTATTTCTTAATCCAATGAGGATCCTTTTTCTTTTATAGTTGGGAGTGAGGGAGGTTCTGTTTTGAGAGCCTAGATTACTCCAATCAATTACACAATGACTAAATAGGCATATTTAGATTCTAGGGGTAATAATTTTAAATATTAGCAAAAGACAAGGGACTCATTTGGAAGGAGGAAACCATTTTATTTATGTAGAATTTAAATTAAAAATGTTTACCAGAAATTAGATTGCACGTGGAAAGTTATTGCAAAGAACGAAAAATAAACAATATTTTTATCTAATAACTTGTCAATTCCAAACCTGATATAAGGAAAATGTATGCCAATCCCATTAATTATGCCTATGAAGCTCATTACGGAACAGTTTATTCTATTAGTTTTTCTCCGTTTGTGAAATCTGCATTCATTACAGCTTCAATGGATGGACAAATTAGGTTGTATTTACAAAATACAGCTCGATGTTTGGCTGTCTATGAATACATTTAAACTTACATTTTATCAGCTTAGTTTTCTCCGACTCGACCTTGTGTATTTGCGGCATGTGATAGTTTGGGATAAATTTTGATCTTTGATCTAACTTAAGATACGCAGCAATAGGTAAAATATGATCAATAACTATAGGTAGTTACACTTAAAAATGATGGGTAGAGTGCTTCTTGTTTAAGGTTCAATTAAAGACAGTAAGACTTATTGGCTTGCTCATATCAGGGATGTGAGGTGAGAATCTTTTAATTAAATGATGAATTAACATAACCAAAAGAGAATGAATTGAAAGAGCTTTAGTAATTATTAAGTTGATGTATAATTATATAATTTTATCATTTAATTGATGATTAACAATTTATTCAAGGAGTATCTATGTTAAAATCTGTTGGCAGAACTCTATTTAATTTATGAAATTATTAGATTGATCTTTAAAAATCAGTCATGTTATTTGATCTTCTTAGACTTTTTTTATTGGAAAATCTCTTAATTAGTTCTCTCTTTTTCTCACCCAATTGTTCCTCATCATTATAATACTTTTTCTTTGTTTTATGGAACTTCTCAAAATATTCATTTGGATAAGATAGATATTTTATAAGATAAGTTTACAAATACAATTTTCGTTTCTCTTATGAGTTTAGTATCTGTTGTAATATTATAGTTGTCTAAGATTGAAGTTGAAATGGTGACTTCTTTTTCATGAAGGATCTTTCATTTAATTGCTCCAAGACTACTGTTAGATTGTTTTATTTTAAATAATGGAGATACTCTTTAGCACAATCAAATTATTTATGTAAATCTAAGTCCTGATTAAGAGTTAAATTTAATCTTTTGTTCAAAAATGAAAGGTTTAAAAAATCATCCTTACTAAGATACTCTTCTAATTAGGGTTGTTGAAAATAAGATGTAACAACCCAATACATACTTTTGTTGAATACAGATTATGGAGAGAGTTGATTTTAAGCGTCTGTCTTTTTTTAGAAACCATTTGAGAAATGTCTCAACCTTATTACTTTCTTAACAATTTTCTAAAATTTCAATCGGATCCCAATATTTTTAATCCTAATGCTAGCTCTTTTGTAGTTTGATCTCATAGTTTTATTTTGAGGATCTAATATGCTATTAAATTCTTATTACAAGGATTTTATTGCATTTCAATTTTGGAGATTTGAAGAATGTCATGTAAGTTAGGTAATTGTGATTGAGACTTGCAGCTATTATAAATAGTAACATCACGAGTTCTAAGAATAGGAGATTCAGCCCCTATCTTTTCAGGCTATTACTCTAATAATTTGTTGGATAATGAATAAAATTGAATTATTGGCCATTCTCCATGATTTCTAAACATATTACTCATCTCAGATCTAAAATAATGCATTAAATTATTACAAAAACCATTAATCTACTATTGGGTGAAACATATGTCGTGGCCTTTTCTTCCTCACAAATTGTTCTCTTTTTTGACTGTGATAAAATTGATGGCTCTTGATAACCTTCTCTCTATCCACCACAAAATGTACAACAGGACAATTCGATATTGTATGTCCACTGCAATTACATGAAATGCATTTACTTTGAACATCAAGATCCTGCATTAAAATCTAATCTTTGATAGCACAAAATGTTTCATAATCAATAGGATTTTCCCTTAGGACATCTAAAAATTCACTTCTTAGTAGCACTGTTAGCTATACAAATGATTCACTTTGTAATTGTAAAGTAGGTAATTGTCCTGTTAATAATTCATTAAGACCAAAATATTGCCCTTAATGAAATTTGATCAGTTCTGAGTTATCTATTTTACTATTATTTTATAAATGCAATTCCCCTGATTCTATAAAGCAGAGACAAGGTTCAATAAATTAAGGTAATTGAGAAGTTATAGTCTGCTCTGGGTTTATGAAAACAGTTTTTAGCAACTTAATCAATTTTGATTTAGTTTGATTAGTAAAAGTATTTTTAATGAATTCGCATTTGTCTAATATCGAGGAATTAGCTTCTTCAATCAACTTGTTCTTTAGATTTTCAGAAAGCGAATTAATTAGTACTTCTTCCATTTCATTCTCTTCTTTCATTTATTAACTCCAATAGATTTTTATGTATTGTCTTATCCTAATTATAATGATAATATAGCTTACTAATATTATAATCCAAAGCTGATGTTCTTTTTACTCATGTATTTATTTATTATTCTTATTTTCTCTGAGGTATTTTCAGTAGCATGATTAATAGAAGAAAAGATTTATGCCACTGTGTTAATTGTAAAAGATAGCTGTATACAAGTTGTTAACATAAACAATATAGTCAAAACCTTTTCTAGTTCATCTTTATAATATTATGATATAATTTACTTTAGGGCACGATGTCTCCATATCCTACGCTAATCATTGTAACAGTAGAAAAATAGAATGATTCTAAATATTAAGACACGCTAGATTCATTTTTAAGTAGGCGATCATCCAACCAATTACTCCAATTCATTTAACCTCCATAATCACCAATAAAAAACCACAAGCAACTATACAAATGCACAATGTATAATATCATCAATAGAAGCTTTGCTAAATTCAAAATTGAAGATGAAGTCTTGTCTAAATTTATTGATTCCTCTACATTTTTAGTTATTTTAGTGAAATAAGAAAATTGAGTAACAAAACACAATTACAGCAAGCTAATCCAATAACTCTTCACATAAAAATAATTAAAGAAATTAAAAATGATCACCAAAATAGCCAATCCATCACTAATGAGCCCATTTGTAAGATAATTTTTGAATATTTTATTTTTATCTATGATTGGCTATCCGTTCTCATAGTAGACAGTACTCATTTTCATTATATAATTGATCAATAGAAATAAGCACAAAGGCACTGTCAACCATATACATTGTGAGTACAATAGCCCTTTATTAAATGCCAATTCTAAAGGAATCATTACGAAAAAGTAAATCAATACAAAACAAAACGAGATGTCCCATATTATTTTATGAATATCCTATGGATATATAATCGGTAACTATTTAAATACTGTTGATACGAAATTAGGACATTCTAAAATTAAACTCAAAAGAAGCTACAAAATATTTTTAGATTTGCCTTTTTTACTTTTACTCCTTTAAACACTAATTTCCCCCAAAGTTTATTCTTCACCACTTGCTTTATCTCCTACTATTTAAAAGTGTTTATGTTTAAAAAATAACCGATGTCTTCTGGATGCTGATAGTTTTGTCAAAAACCTCTTTACTAAGTAAGAAACCATAATTGATTTTGCTTATATTTTACCTGAATTCTCATGATCCTTTATCTCGTTTTTCTAAAATAGAGGTTTGATCTGTAACTCTTATGATGATCGATATTTTCTTGTTTTTATGAATGTTTAATGCTCGTCTGATTAAGTCTTAATTCTGTTTGTTTCAATCTCTTTTTCCTTCTGATACTCATTCTGAATTTAAACTAATTCGAAACTAGCTTCCATGCAAGGATCCTTATAGTCATCTATGTTTTCATCTGTGCATAGAATCAATTCAGGCTTTAATGTTAAAGACATGGATAAATTTAAAATTTTATTATTTACTCTTTGAAATATATTATAATACTAATAATTTATTTTTTTAATATCTTTTAATTGGGGAAAGCCTTATCCTTAAGAAACTTCCTCCATAATCACAAGTTAGTAATATTCTTAGTAAAATAATATATAATAATTGAACTGAAACTTTAATATAAAATTAATTAGAATGCAAGTACTTTATAGTAAATAGATTATAAGCAAATGCTAATATTTTTAAAAGCATTTGAAAAAATAAATACTAAACACTTCCAATTTTAGTTTATTCCATCATTATCATAAACACAATATCAGGAGATATGATAATGTATTTAATATAGTATTCGTTTGAAAAAAATAATTATTTAAATAGATTAAAAGTCTTTTGAACTATTTTGTTATTTATATTTAACGAAAATAGACATGGCTAAAGCTTGATATTGAATCACATTTAATATAAACCAATAATTTCTCCCAATATTTATTGAAAAATACAAAAAAAAGGATTAAAATGATGTTAAAATAGAAATGTTGACTTAATCTTAATTTGAGCATTTAATTTGAATTTATGGATTCAGAAATTAAAATTCCTAAAAATTAATGATTATTGTAGATTATATTGTATTACTGGTATTATATATCATTATCAATTGTTTTAGTTTGGCATCTCCAATTCCGAATTAAATGGTTATGTCACTATGAGCTTTTATTTTCTCCATTTAAGAAATTCTAATTTGTACGCCCATCTTTTATATAGATATGAAATGACTATGATCAACCAAATTATTCCAACAACAAGTGCATATATAGTTATGGTGTATGAAGCATAGACAGATTTATTTCCTGGATTCTATTGAAATATGGAAAAATATTACATATTCAGATTAGTATACAAATGAATGTGTCAACTAACAAAGAGAATAGGGAGAATGATCAGCATGCGTAGTTTTATTTTCGCATTAAGTTGAATTTAGAGTTACAACGTAGGATTTTTGTACAACTTCATTCGATTAACAGGTGATTTTCGGATCTTCAAAAGATATTTCAATATATTTAAATGCATGTTTTGCTATGCCAATCATGATTCTGTTGGAGGAATTGTAAAATTTGGAAAAATCATATTCTTTGATTTTAAGGAGGTTTTCCTCTTAAAAGTAGGTTTGATGTTTAACAGCTGGATTGATGAATTTATTGTAGATTGAATGATAAATGATCTTATGACCGTCATCTCCAATTAAAACAGCGTAGTGTTCAAATACATTGACATTATTTATTATCATTTCATCTATATACAAGTTATTGTAATAATAGGACTTGGTTTAAAAGTCAACAAATATTTCCACAGCATAATACAACTAAGTATTTGTTTTTGCAATGAGAAAGAAGGTGTTTTGATAATGATCAAAGGTTTTAGTGTTAGGGAGAAGAACACTCATTATTTGAGTGATATTATTTAAATCTGAAATGTCATAGATATATAAGCCAGATTCTGAGTCTAAAAGATAAATTTTGGTTTCATCGTCATTTGAATCAACATCAATTATAATACCATCCTCAATGCCCAGTTATTCTGGTGTTAATTGAGCTCTATGTTTAATTTTACCATTATTTTGGATGTCATATAAATCAATACCTTCACTTCCACAGGCGATAATAATTATTTGAGCTCTTGAATTTTTATGAACATTATATATGTGTCTTCTTAATTAGATTTCTTCAGACTCCATCTTGGCATCTCCTATACTTCCATCCGTAGAAAAACTCACACCTCCCAATTCTGTAATGGCGTATATTTTATTTGAACCTTCATCATCTATTAAGTAGGGATGAGGCATATAAAATTGATCAACTGTCGAGGTGTTATGTATTAACAAGTTGTTAAATGATTGATTTTTTGGGTGTAAACTAATTTCTCCTAATGCAGTAGATATATCGATTTAAAATATTGAATAATCATTCCTAACCTACAATTAAGATGATTTGTACTATATATGCTTTGAATTTGTTATCTGCCGTTGCCAAATCGGTGAAATGCATCCAAGGCTAAGTGAGTAATTATTCTAATTGTAACTAGAGGTTAAAATTAATGTCAATGTTTCTTTATGTAGAATAGCATCCTGAGAAAGTACCAAACTATGTTTCTTCAATCTCCAGTCCATTTAAATCAGCTGATTGCTCTGTGTTATTTTCGAAAGTCTCCTTTAAGGATATTGCAAATACTCCAGGATATCTACAATTAAATCTGAAATATTACTTTGTATAACCAAATTGTCTTGTTTATCTCACTTTATTTGAAAAGTTCGAAGGTGGAATTACTTCCGAATATGTTGTAATGTTGGGTTGACTGACTTTGGTGTTTTATGCAGAATAGAGTAGTTGAAAAATTATGAATGCAATCATAAAAATATTAATCTTATCTAAACTTATACTAATTAATTATGTTAACAACTATTAATTTGAAAATCAATAACTAAGTGCTGGAGTTCGTCCTAAATAAAGGAGATATCTTATGGAAGAAGGTTGAATGCTTTTGCATTGAAAACAATTTACAAAGACATTAAGACCAAATTTTTAATCTGATTTACGATGAATTCTAGAAGACTGAAAAATAAGAAACAAAACCCTAGTCAACATTTAAAGCACTCAATCCTTCCAGATAGATACTACAGCAATAGGATAAAAAGGACAAAATCCACAAATAATAAGAAAATAGAAGCATTAGTCCTTCGGCTAAAATTCTCACTCCAAAAAAGTCTTCTCATCAGAAATAACAAGTGTCTCATTTCCAAAAAAATCAATCTGTATATTAACATTTAAGAGAAGATATGCAATCTGAACAAACACCAAATTATATCGAGTATCATAAGGAAAATTGTTATGTGAGAGAAACCTAATAGGATAAGGTGGATAATACTTTAATCACAAATATTGGAAAATTTGATAATCTGATAAAGGCTGTGTATAAACAAATCGAAAATATTTCAATTGACAGTACTATTTAACCTATTTGCATATAATTATATAATCGGTTATTGAGCACACAAGAAAAGAGAAAGTCATTAAAGTTAAATATGATTAACTATAATCTTTTGGAAGATAAGGAAATTTATGTTTTGGAATAGATTGTCCAAAAATACTCTTTATCCTTAGCCATTGAAATGAGCAAAACTCAATTTGTAATTTTAATGATAGGCTTGATTGTTTCAGGTGAAGACTAAAAGAAATAAAATGGAGTTAAGGTAAGAGATCTAATAAACTTCAATCCTTCCTTAACTCCACATTATCAACTATATTGTTGAATACTGCAAATTATAATATATAAACATAATAATAATCTTATTTATAGAAATATCAACCTGTTTTTAGAACACCAGCCTCAATTAGCTTTTCAATTTTGGCTGCTAATGAAGGATTCTACTTTATTGCTTTTAATCCATCCTAAGGATGATCTTTCATGTCATTCAAAAGATTAATAACCTAATTATTAATAGCATTTTATACCTCTGGTTCTCTTAGAATCTACTGAATTTCTGGGTCTTGCATGGCTCGTTTAGCTCTTTATTGTTACTCTTCTTCTGATCCACTTCCTTGTAAAATTGAGAATCTCACTTTTTCAAGACCTTACTACATTTCCACATTATTAGGCTCAAGTTCTAATCCCTTTTCATAAACAGTTTTGGCCTTGTGGAATTCTTTCATAACAAAATGACAGTTGGCTTTCTTAACATAGGCCTTAACATATTTTGAATCTAATGACAAGCATTTTTCAAGGTCAGAAACAGCATTAGGAAATTCCATCAATTTCATATATGCAGTTGCTCTATTGCAATAATATTTAGGTTCCTTTGGATTTCTCTTAATAGCATCACTGTAACATTGAATGGCCTCTGGGAATTTTCCTGCCTTAAAAGCATCACCTCCTCTAGTATTTGCCTCTTCCCCTAATTAAGGATTGATGTAATTTTATGCTTCAAGATCTTACTTCATTTTTTATAATTTCTTCAACTCATCTTTTACTGATTGCACATGATCTTCAACCAATGATTTTTCATAAATTTGAATGGCTTCATCAATCTTATTTTATAATGAAAACACCTTGGCCTTTCTAGCCAACAATTTGGCTTTCTTCTAGAAACTACTATGTACTTCCAAAACTTTGAGTCCTTCTTCAATGGCTTCTAATGCTTAATCATAAAGTTTTTGTTCAATAAAGACTGCAGCTTTGTTATTATACAACAAGGCTTCCTCCTTATTCAATTCAAGAGCAGCATTGTAATACTGGAGAGCTTTATCGAAATTCTTGTTTTTATATTCATCATTTCCCAAATTTTTTTGCACTTCCCATTCTTCAAGTTGAGGCTATGGTTTTGGAGGTGGTTAGTGATGTTGTTTTTATTAAGGTTATTCAGTATGAGCGTGATGATGTTGTTCAGCATGAGTGTGATGATGCTATTCTTATTCTGGTTGAGGGTGTTCCTCTTCCATTTATGATGATTATTGTTGAGGATGATCCTTTTTTTCACCATCTGGTTTTTTCACTTTTCCAGCAAACTCGGAGAAGAAAATGGCTTATGCCTCAGGATTTTCCAATATTACAGATAAAGCAGTAGAGATTCTTGGATCAGTCTACATGAATTAACTGGCCATTTATGGTTAAGAGATCATTAAACCAATTAATTACATAAATGTGGGATCTGAGGCAAATGCAGATGTTCTTGGATCTTTCTAGAGAATACCCAGAAGTTTTATAATGTTGGGATTTTTCAAAGCAGAAGCAAAGGGATTGTTCTGAGTACCTTGCAATTCAGTCTAAGCTGCCTTTAAGCCCTCTTAGAGCAAAGAATTGCTAGGATCCTTGGCTAAGCCTTGTTGATAGGCTTCAATGGCCTTTTCGAATTCTCCAAGATAATGAAGGGCCAATCCCTTTCTCTGGTAGCCTAAATTAAGAATTATGATACCTTTTGCGAAATTTGGGTTAATAGAAATACATTTGTCGGCATCTGTTAAAGCTTCTTAATATTTAGAGAGGGAAGCATATGATCCTGATCTATTGCTATAGAGAATGTGATCATTTGGATTCTATTCGATGGCTTATGAATAAAACTTAGCTGCCTCTTCAAATTTATTTTCTTTGAAAGCTTAATTACCAAGATCTTTATATTATTATGCTGTTAACATTATTTTAATTATTGAAATTGATAAAGAAAAAGAAAGAATTTCATCACACTGTTAAATTCTAGATTATTCGATTTATTTTTTTTGATTAATTTATAAAATTTGCGAAATCGAGGTATAGTAATTAAACATTAATGAAAAATTCATAAACACGTTTTCAATTAAATTTAATATGAAAAAAGAGGAAGCAATGCAGTAATCCCTGAGATTCACCTACTTCTTAATTGGGACAATCGCCTTTTCGCAAGGTAATACTAATATGCATTTACATAGGCATTATGGGTTTATCTGATCTGGCAATTAGCTATATGCAAAAAGATGATTATAAACAAGATCCAGCATAAACCCAATTTTTCTCTACCATCATCAGCTTGCCTTGGATTGTCAAACCCTTTTGGGGCATAATGACAGACACCGTGCCTCTTTTTGGATATAGAAGAAAATCATATCTAATATTTTTCGGAGTTCTGGGATTCATTAGTTGGAATCTGTTGTCCGATTACGGTGTGGAGAATAGAGAACTTGGATTGATTTTGTTGACAGTTATCAACATTTGCGTTGCATTTTGCAATGTGATAGGCGAAGCATTGTTAGTCGAGTATTCAGGACATTCAGATGACGATACGCATTAAAATGATAAAGCAAGTTAGAATGTGACATTCTTCTTTGGAATGAGATCAACAGGAACTCTAGTTACTGCATATTCATCTGGTAAACTCTTATAATTGTTTGACAAACGCTATATTTTCAAAATAACTTCGATTTTCCCTTTAATCCTAGCATGCATAGCAGTATTTGTAAAAGAAAAGAAATATTCAAAAGATGAACCTGAAAAGGAGAAAATTAAAACTGTTGAATCCCTCAAACTATTTACAAAATTCGTTTCCTAACCTGTAATTTATAGGTAATTATTAAAATAATTTAGACCAATTTTGTTAATAATGGTATTCATGTCATCTCCATCGATTTCAACAGCTATGTTTTATTTTTACACTAATGTTCTATAATTTGGTCCAGATTTTATAGGAGAATTACGACTCTCCTACTCCATTTGTTCCATTCTTAGTGCTTACCTATTTAATAGATTTTTAAGGCATGTGAAATTTACTAAGGTCTTTGGTTACAGCACTTTTGTATATTGTTTGGTTTCATGCTAAACTACTTTGCTAGTTACAAGAAAGAATGTTAAGTTAGGTATCCCGGATAGAATCTTTTGTTTTGGAGATGGTGTTTTAAACTAAGTCATTGGGGAATTAAACACAATGCCTGTATTAGTATTGGCCTGCAAAATGTGTCCCAAAAATATTGAAGGAACTATGTATGCTCTATTGATGTCAGCAATCAATTTTGGAGGAATGGTTTCCTAAGAATTAGGAGCATTGCTCACCTATTATGCTGGTGTAACAGATGACAATTTCGACAACTTGGCAAGATTAATAGTGATATGCTCGTTTTGCACAATGTTGCCATTACCGTTTTTAGGAATTATTAATGAGGATCAAATGGCTAAAGCTAGAGAGAAGCATTAGTATGAGTCTCTACCTAAAGAAGAAGATGAAATTAATGTTGAATAAGAAGTTGAAGAGATAACTGATACTAAATGTGCAAACTTATAAAATGAACAATTATTAATTTGATTATTATATAATATTTTCTAATTATCATTCATAAACTATTTCGTCAATATAATCTGATTTGGATCGTATTTGATAATTTTGTGGTTTAAAGTAGTAAGAATTGATGTCTTTCTTAATTTTCTAAAAGTGTTTGCTGCTAGATTCATCCATTGTTATTGAAATTTTCTTCTAAGCTTTCGGCATTTTGGCCAGTTTTTCAGTTTATATATTAGCTAATCTTTGCAATTCTGCCAACGAACTAAAACTATGCAACAAGGTTGGTGGTTCAAGAACATCAATCAATTTTTGATTCATTAATTTTTCAAAATCACTTTTAGAATTATTGCTTAATTTAATTGACTCATAAGCTGAATAGAGTTTTCTTAGTTTTTTTGATGTATTATATTGATGACGTGTCTCAAACAATTTCTTTTTTTTAAAGGTTAATGTTAAACTTTGTTTATCAAATTATCCAGTCATACCCTAAAAAGATTCAGTATTAGTAAACCTAGATGATCCAACTATGGGTTTGGGCAAACAATTAAAGACTTTTAATTATTCTTTATTGAGTAGTAAATGTTTCAATTTTTCCATTTCTTATAACTTTTAAATGATAACCAAAATGTCCATGTCTTTTTGAATCATGCTTTTTGATTATTTCAATATTTTTTTGTTGTGTTTACCTATATTACTAAATCGCCAACAAGTCAGATATTTAATTATTATCACAATACTGTATTTTAACTTCTTATCTCCAGTTAGTATAATATTGATAATCTATTCTAAAAAGTTATTTTTGTAGAAGTCTAGATTAGAAGAATTAACATATTAAATGGCATTGGATGATTTAACTGACTCCATTTATTCTGTTTTTATAATGGCATCATCTGTAAGTAACGCATTTCTTTTCGAAACACTTTAATTAGTAATTAGGCATTCAGAACCTGCTGAAATCAATTATTGACTTCCACTTGTTTTCGAAATAGCTTTTGCAAATCTACCCAAAGTTAGAACCTTTATAGCCCCTATCTTAAACTTACTTGCAATATCCTCTATCTGCTTTATATTATCAAGTATTTAAGTTACTAGCGTTTAAAATGAAAAAGTGACTTCTCCTTTAGTTGTTTAAGGAATATCAAATTGATACAAATCATTGGCAAGCATAATTTACAGTCCTGTTTTATTGTACTTAGTAATAAAATAACCAAACACCAAAACTATAAATTTAGTTATTCCTCCAACATAAGATATTAATTCATCGAATTTATAATATTATTTTTTATAAATATCTTCAGACTAAGCCAATCTTATAATAAACTGAGAAATGATATTATTAGATTAGATATTTGAGGTTATTTGAGATAATTTTGTATCCTAAATTGAAAACAATTCATCTTGTTCTACAGAGTTTAATACAGAGATGGGAGATTCATCTATTTTAACATTCAGTTTTTCAAGGTAAATATCAGTGCTTGTAGTTTTTGTAAGAGATGTTTCTACATAAAAATCAGTATAAATATATTTTTAAACGCTTTCCTCCTAATTGAGATTTACTAATGTATTAAGAATTAAGGTACTAATTTTCACTACACTATCTTGTAATCCTAATGCATTTACTTCTTCAGATGATGCACAATCTGGCTCATCAACACATGATACTAATATAATTTTGCCATATTAAAAAACATTTGACTTATATGTGCCTTGTTAAATTATTGAATAATTTTTAGGTAGGCAAAAATACTCTTAAATTTACCCTTTTATTTGTTACTAAACAATTTTAAAATAAAAAGTTTTACATTATAACTGTTAGTTTAATCCAAATGTAGGAAATGATCAAGAGAACATTTTTCTAAAGACTGAAGAGTTGTTTCATTTTTAATTCTTGTTCCATTGGCATTGAGTATTTAAGATTACTGAGTGTATAAGGCTTTATATATTGGCTTTGTAAATTACAATTATAGATCAATTGAAAATCCAAGCATAAAATTATTGACACTGAGTTTTGACATTGGGGGATCAATATTGAGTAACTTTGAACTTGAAATCTATTTAATTAATAAAATCATTAATTACAGTATAGTTTTCGTGTTTGATCAAGGAAATAGTCCCTCTTACAAAAATCATCAAAATAGCTACTGCAATAATAATTGTAATAATTCCACCCAGAATCGACTTATATGCTTCTTTGTGATGTAAGTTCAATTTTATTTATGCTCCAAAGTGATCACATTTTCGAATATATTTAAGTGTTTTTTTCATAATTTTCCCTTATTAAAAAAATATTAAAGAATATAAATATTTAATAATGGAAGATTAAAAGTCAATAATCCTTTAAAAGCTTCAGAGTAACACTGTTAATATTCGAAATCTAAGTATTATTGCTCACGTCGATCACGGTATGTTTATAGTATTAAACCCAAGGAAAAACAACCTTAACAGATCAATTGATTTCTGCAAACAATATAATCTCAAAAAGGCTGGCAGGAAATCTTAGATATATGGATAGTAGAGAAGATGAATAATTGAGAGGTATCACAATGAAATCAAGCTCTATATCAATAATATATGAAAATCATCTGATTAACTTAATTGACAGCCCAGGCCATGTTGAATTTTCTTCTGAAGTTCAAGCAGCATTGCGTTTAACGGATGGGGCACTAGTACTGGTGGATGTTTTGGAAGGATTTAGTTCATAAACATTTAATGTTTTAAAACAAATGTTTGAGGAAGGTATAAAAGGAATTCTAGTCCTGAATAAGGTAGACAGATTAATTTTGGAAAAACAAATGGACCCTGACCAAGCCTTCATTCACATGTCCCAAATTATAGAATAAGTGAATGCAGCTTTAAGTTCATTTTTAAATGAATAAATTCATTAGGTTGAGGAATAAAAAGAATTTTCTTTAGATGATGATTATATTACGAACTTGGAATCTAATCTATATTTTTGTCCTACAAAAAACAACGTTGTTTTCTGCAGCAGTATTGATGCTTGGGCATTTACAGTAGGAACTTTCTCTGCAATATTTGCTAAGAAACTTAAATGCAATTAATAAGCATTATAAAAGTGTCTATGGGGAAACTATTATTTTAAGAATAAAAAAGTTACAATAACTCCAAGCAAGGAGGGATAATCAGTTTTATTTGTCGATTTCATTCTAAAGAACATTTGGAATATCTACAATAATAAAGATAACATTTAAAAAATATAATCCATTGCTACCCAACTATAATTGAATGGATAGATTGCTAATTATAAGTAACTAATGACTAAATGGTTACCTTTTGATTAATGTCTATTTGATAGAATAATAAAAGAACTACCCAACCCAATAGAAGCTTAGAAATCTAGAAAAGATATCATTTGTAAAAGAATAAATAGGCTAATCACTAAGAATTACGATGCTAGGTATGATGAATTATATTAATCCATTTAAAATTGTGACCCTAATGGGCCTTTAGTAGTATTCGTATCCAAAATGGTAAGTATCCCTCCAGAGTGTGTAGATGAAAAATAATTAAACCCAAAACCTTAAGGAATATTATCATATGCTTTTGCGAGAGTGTTTTCAGGAACTCTCCATCTAAATCAACCCGTTTATGTGATAGGACCTAAATCTAAAATCATCAATAATGTTAATCAAGTTGATTAAACGGATATTTAATAATTTGAGATCAAAAAAATATATCTCATGATGGCTCAATATTTAGAGGCAATTAAAAGGATGCCTGCTGGTAATTTAGTAGCAATAGGAGGTTTAGATGACTTAATATTTAAGACATCTACAATATCTTCAGTCAATTATTGCCCATCATTTGCTCCTACTTATGTGAAATTCAAATCAATTGTTAGAACTATGATTATGCCTTCTTAATAGGAAGATCAACCAAGGGTGCTCCAAGCCATCAAAAAATTATATAAATGTGATCCATCATTAGATGTTTAAGCCTTAGATTCTGGAGAACTTGTATTAGGAACTTGTGGCGAAGTTCATTTATAAAGATGCATAACTGATATCGAAAAATTAGCTGATTGCAAGGTAAAAATCTCAGAACCAATTATACCTTTCAAAGAAACCATCATCTATAAGAATATGTTGGAAGAGAGCAATGAGAAATATCAAAAAAAAATGGCCAAAGTGTTAGTGCAAGGAGGATAGAAATAAAAAAAATAACAATAATTTGAGTAAAAAACCAAGGATGATGATATAGATGTTGAAAAATAGAAATAATTTAAATAAAAGTTGTAGGAAGCTGAGGAAACTGAAATTGTCAAAGACACCAATATTTTAGAATAGGAGGATATCAGGTACAATTAATTATTGAAGGAAGAAATTAAATTCAAATATGATTAAAAATCATAGGTGAAGAAATTAGATCATAAGAATAAGGGAAAATAAGCAACTAAGAATAATTTATTAGTTGAAGTCTAGACTAAAAGTAATCTTGTTGAAGAATTCACAGCAAATCAAAAAATTGCAGTTAAGGTAAGAGCCATTGGTTTACCGTTTGAATTAGCAACTTGGATAGAAAATAACTAAAAGTAGATGAGAAAACTGCTATATGAGAATAAAGGTGATCCTAAACAGTTTTTAGAAGAATTTGATACGATCCGTAAAAGTCTTAAAATAGAGAAAAAATTGAACGAGCTCATTGAAAATCATTTGTAATGTTTTGGTCCAAAGAAGTTTGGTCCCAATCTATTAATAAACAAAATGATAAAATCAGAGGATTCCTTAATATAAAAGTTGAGACAACAAATCTAAAACTAACAACCTTTGATATAATAATAACAAATTATCTAATAAGACTTTTAATAGTAAGCTGAAGAATAAAATTTAATTTAATTGTAGTAAAATGAGGAAAAAGTAGAATCTACGAAGGATAGTAAATCTTAATTAAGTGATACAACTGGATCGATCGCCAAAGGCTTAGAATTGTATTTAAGCTAATAAGATTTATCATAAGATGCGATGAATAATGCGATTAATTTAGGATTTGACTTAGCTCTAAATGCTGGACCATTATGCTCAGAGCCTATTATTGGAGCCTGCTTTATCATTGAACAATTAAAATTTTCAGAAGATGAACAATAATAATAGGATACTTATGGACCTATTAGTGGTTAATTGATATCAGCAATGAAAGATGCTTGCATAAATTCCTTTTTAGGAGCTTAACCAAGATTAGTAGAATCAGTTTATAAATGTACACTTTAGACCGATTTTACGAATTATGGCAAAAGTATAGATGTACTGAATTAAAGGAGAGGTAATGTTGTAAATGAGGTTTTGAATTCTTGCACTTCTTTATTCACAGTTTAAGCTAAGTTACCTCTAAGCAGCTCTTTCGATTTTTATTGTCAAATATAGTCAGCTACATCTGGACATGTTTCTGCCCAATTAGATTTTGATGGATGGTCAATTCTTCAAGAAGATCCATTTTATTAACCATTCACAGATGATGTAATAAATTGTATTAAATTTAGGATATTGCTGAAAATGGGATGTAGAAAGTTGAAAGAAATACAGCTCGTGATCTAATTATGGCAACTCGTAAAAGAAAAGGAATGAATTTTGAAGAAAAAATAGTTGTGGCAGCAGACAAACAAAGAAATTTATCAAAGAAAAAATGATATATATTATTAATGTAATTAAAAGCTTTTCATAATTTAAAGAACAATATTGATTCTTTGAATACTTACCAGTGATTATTTAGTATATTTCTGACGAAAAATATGAATTAAGGCAGCTTAATTTATGTTGTATCAAATTAAGATGTAGTGACATTAGTATTTATTACTTCTCTTCCCATAATTACTCTCTGTAAATCACCTTTATATTTCACAAAATAAGTTTTTGTAAATGATAAATGATATAGTAAGCTTGATTATAAAATTCAATAGAAAAGGCCTTTTATGATTTACAATATTTCTTGTTAATTTAATCCTTAAATTATTTCAAGTGTTAATAATATAAATGTGGAATATCATTTTATTTGCGACAACAGCAATCGTGAATGGATATTTATCCTTTAAAGAAGGCCCCTATGATTACACAAATGTCTTTCCCAGCTTTGGAGAGTTGCCAAGTGGCACAAAATGTACTAAAGTAGATGCTAAGAAATTAAATACACTTTTTGATCAAAATCAAATAATATTTTCTGGCTATTTAAGTGTCATTGAAAATAGCAAGTCCTGTTTGGGATTCATTTTTTACGGCTCTGAGAAAGCAACTTAACTATCGGATCTCTCAAAATATCCAACATTAATCTGGTTAAATGGAGGTCCTGGATCATCATCTTAATTAGGTAATTTCATGGAGTTAGGACCATTGATTATGTAATAAGATGGTACATTTACAAAGAATAATTATGCTTGGAGTAAAGAATACAATGTGATATTTGTTGATTAACCAATTGGAGCAGGTTTAGCATATCCTGAGAAACAATCAGATGTTCCTACTAATTAACCATAGATCGGTGAGTAATTTTTATATGCCTTATTGCAATTTTTATACAGTGCTGAGGGATGTGTTTAAAAAAATGGAATTCTTGATTTATAAAAGTCTCCATGGTTTGTTTTTGGGGAAAGTTATGCTGGAAAGTACGTAATAATTACATAATTAGGTATGTTCCTACTATAGCTAAGGCAATATTAGATTATAATGTTAAGGTTGAGGATAAAAGAATTCCCTTAAAAGGAATCGGAATAGGAGATCCTTTTACCGATCCATATGCAGTTATTGCTGAATATGCTTCATATTCTTTCAACTTAGGTTTGATTGATGTTTAGGAGAGAGCTGAAATTGATTCTGTTCTAGTTTATGGATTGAATGAACTAAACAAAGGGAACTCATTGAATGCAAGGTCAGCCTTTGAGAAATCCCTTGATCTCATTGGTTAATATGATGGAGGAATGAACGTTTATAATGTATTATAATACGGCAGCTACAATAACGCTAAAACCAAGATCTAAGAATATTTGAGGGACCCTTTAATTCTAAACTAATTAGGACTAAGTGCTGATTGGGTTTATAAGATAAGTAATGGAGCAGATGGTCCAGTGCAGAAGGCTTTGGCTTATGATTTTATGTTAAGAGATGTTGTCTAAACTGTGGAAGAAATATTGCCTAAAATCCCATTGTTTGTGTTTAGTGGATAAAATGATTTAATTTGTTCAACTCCAGGTACTTTAAGATGGCTTTATGATTTGAAATATAGTAAGATTGATGAATACAGACAAAAGGATTTGGAAGTTGTTAAACTGTTAGGTACTGAAAAAATTGTAGGTTATTACAAGTAAGCTGGAAATCTTGAGTTACAATTAGTAAACAATGCTGGCCATATGATACCTACAGATCAACCTCAGGCTGCTTTGGAGATGATAGTGACATTTGTCAACAAGCACAAGAATTGATATAATTAATTTATCGAAATTAAATCAATTCACAATAATAAATAGAATTAAATTGCCTTCTTAGTTTCGATTATTTGCTGTATGTATTGGAAGGAAGAGTTAATTGAAGGAGATTCTTTTTGAGAATATAAAATATTTTATAATTAATTAAACTTAAAAAATCAGAAGAAATGAGTGATGATGAAGAAAAGGAATTTAAACATAAATAGAGACAGACAAAATAATAATTGTATTAATTTATTTAGAGAGATGAGTTTAATCTAATCATAGATTGCATCAATATGTCTATTAGTTTCATTTTGATATTTGTTTACATATATTCAACTTATGAACCTGAACCATTTTAAAATGCAACATGGGCAGTTTTTAACACTATCCTTCATCTTTTACTTCTAATTGAATGGATTTTCAAATTGTATGCAACCAAGAATTTTTAATCATTTATTATGTCCTCAGAATCAATAATTGCCATATTATCATTGTTTCCGTATTTCATAATTAAAATTTCTACTCTTAAATTATTTACTGAAGATGATGACAAAGTGAACACGTTTGCAAACTTAGTGTGTCTCTTTAGAGGACTTGAATTTGACAGAATGAAAAAGTACCTAGATTCTGAAGTTAATAAGTAATTGACCTCCATAATGATTACAACTGCAACTTTAGTCCTTTGTGCTGCAGGTGCTTTGCATTTCAATTCACTTTTTTTAGAAACAGTATTGCATTTCAAATTTCACTACTTTATTTACTTTGTGATGACTACAATTTCTACAATGGGTTATGAAAATAAATTCTCTAGTGCGATCTCAAGAGTTTTAATCATCATACTTGTCCTGTTAGCCTTAACTTTTGTGCCCTATTAAACTGGACAATTGATTAGACACCTTAGTTCCAAGTCTTACTATGCTAGATTAAACTACAAATCGAGTCAAGCTGTCCCACATATTGTAATCTTAGGAACCATTTCTTTGAATGCGGCTGAAAACTTTTTCAAGGAGTTGTTTCATGAAGATCATGGATTGGCATAAAAGCATGCAATCATTTTATGTCCTCAGAGACCAGATGTAAATTTAGAATCACTAATTCAATAACCCGAATATTCCAATGTCATTTACATTTAGGGTGATCCTCATTTGGATAAAGATTTGAAAAGATGCCAAATAGAAAAAGCAAAGGCCATCATTATAATGTGCAATAAATAGAGTTCAGACCCTACTGCAGAAGATAGCAAAACTATTCTACTTGCAATTGTTATCAAAAGCTACTTAAAACAACATAATACTACAGGAGTCAAAATTAGATTCTGTATGTAGATTTTGAGATAAGAAGGCAAAACACACTATTTTTTATCATTAAATAAATAAACAAAATTCGATTAAGTGATATGCATTGAGGAATTAAAGATGTCACTCCTTGCAAAGTCTTGTTTGTGTCCAGGCTTAATTGCATTTATTTCAAATCTCATTACATCTTCTGGTAACCCTCCAAATTTGCCTTAAAAATGGTTAAATGAATATTGGATTGGCTAAGGATTTGAAATTTATAAGACCTTGCTTCCAAATTTTTTTAGAGGCAAATCATTTACTCAAACTGTTTTAATTTTGTACAAATAGTTCCAAGTGATATTATTTGGAATTGAAATATCTTCTCCAAATGATTATGAGAAAAATCTACTAAACCCTGGAGATATTATATTGCCATCAAATCCAAATTACAGAGTCATGGGATACATCATATGCAAAGACAAAGAAACAGCAGATGAAATATCCATATACAAATAAAGTCATCAAGATAAAATGAATTAAATAAAATCAGATGGCACCACCAGAAGATTACTAGAATCGGAAGAAACAGTTAATATTAGACCAAGAAGACCTACTATTTTCCAAAATGTGAAAACTCTTTTTGGATTCTCCCAAGCAGAGCCAGATTAAAAGAAAGGAAATGCTGCTAAAAATGACAATTCAAAAAATGTTGTTTTGCATCTTAAAAATCAAAGGGGTTGGGTTAAAACAGATATGTTCGATCCAAGTTAAGACACCCTCATTCATCCAAAAGAAAATGAAAAGTTTGATCAATTAGAAGAAATCGAAGAAAATAGTGATGACCAGTAAAAGGACATAGCAGAAATGCAGATCAAAGAAAAATTTTAAAAAGACACAGCCAGAAATTGGCTTCAACTTGATTTTAACAATAATAAAATTGAGAAGACCAGTCATTTAACAAATGAGAAAGTTGGGCTCAAGGATGTCACCTTTAAAACCTTATAAGACTCAATTTTAGCTTAAAATCATGTTATTCTTTGTGGACTAGTAGCAAATTTAATTAATTTTATATTGCCTCTTAGGTCTAAATACTTAATTACTTATCCTCCAATTGTAATTTTAAATGATTAGGAACCAAGCGAAAAACAATGGGCTCAAATTTGCTACTTTCCAGAAATATATTTCGTTAAAGGTACAGCCATGAGTCAAAGAGATTTAATAAGAGCCAATATTGAATAAGCCATTAGAGTCGTGATTTTATCGCCAAAAGAAATATCTACTGCCAAATTTGAGGATGATTCTCAGGACAATGATCAGATAGTTTAATAATAGCAGTTGACTAAAGATCAGGAGGATTTATTAGATGCAAAAACCATATTCAAATATAGAAACATCATTAGATTGAAACCTCACATTTAAATTGTTACTGAATTTGTATCGCCCTCTAACATTTAGTTTCTGCTATTTGACAAAGATTATGACTTAATGAAGCAGTATGGTTATAATCATACTCCATTATTTGCGTCTGGTTAAATTTATTTCTCTTCGGTGATGGATGGTCTTCTGTGTTAGTCATTCTACAATCCTGCTCTGGTGTAAGTATTATATCAATTGTTGGTCGGGAATATTAAGGAAAATGAAAAAACAGGAGCTATGTTACAATATCAGAGCAAAGGGTTGAACTAATCAAAAGACTTTATCTCTGAAGATAAAGACATCTCAAGCAACCTATTCCAAATTCCAGTTCCAAAGGCTTTTTAAAATAAACCCTTTTAAAAATTATTTTATCATCTAGTTAAAATGAAACAAATTGTTCCTCTAGGATTATATAGGCTCGCGGGAGCAACAGATAATAAAGTGCCCTACATTTGCACAAATCCAGAACCCAATACAATATTGACAAATAAAGATATAGTGTTGGTTCTAGCTAAGGAAATGCCTTAATCTGATTGTACTGTTTCAATTTATCTTAGCAATTAATTGGGGTGGACCGTTAGAGGAAATGGTATAGCAATAGAAGTAGGCCCATAATATTTATAAAAAGAAAGAGTCTACTTCATCAAGCGATGATAATGACTTAATATAAATTAATGATAATAATGATAAAGAAGTACAAAGAGCGAAACAATACAATAATGAAACAGAACAGGTGATGAAAAAAATTTAGAATGTTATAGAAGATGTGTAAAAATTAGAAAAAGAATCAGAAGATTTTTAGAAAAAAATGATTGATAGGCAAAATCGAATTTTAGCAAGGCTGAGAGATGTATTTAAGGAAGAGTTGTTGCAATTTTAATAGAAAAGAGCAGAAGTTTCATAAAACTTCACTTATAAAAGTTCAGATGATTGAGAATATTTTATATATTTATTACACAATCACATTTTAGTTGAAATTATTGTATATAAATATTCTATTTCAATTTTTGGGTATTGCTGTTGTTTCAATAGAACAAACTTAAATTTTCGTTTATGAGTTTTTTAAACTAGTAGCCAACATCTTGAATACAGATTTAAGAAGGTTGAACTTAGTAAAATCTTAATATGTAATTAGACTGGAATGAGAGTTGGTAGTATAAGTATTAATCATAATAAAAAATTCTTAATATTTTAACATCAAATCTCAAAACTATTTAAATACAGATTATTAATTATAATATAAGTAATACCTTATAATTTATAAGTTAAAGTAAATATCAAAAGAATTCAAAAAGAAAGCACTTGGAGTGTGATCAATTATTTAAATTAGTGAAGTAAATCTCTCATAATCTACTAATCTACTTAAATGATATAATAATTAGAGTTTATAATGTAGCATATGTTTTACATTGTGATCTTACTTCAACTTAAATAATAAACCTTAAAAATTTACAATTCTTATTAATAACTTCAACTTCACTAACGAGTCGATCATGTATTGATGCTTAATCATTTATAAAAAAACAATAAAATTAATTCTATTACTTAATTCAATTCATATGATGGAGAGCTTTGAGATTTCTCATAAAATTTATAAGATATTAATAACAAAAAAATACATCTTTTCATTTTATCTATCATGTGAGATTCTTATATAATAATATATATAATTTGATTATTATAAACTAATGGAATTCTATTCGACAGATTAAATTGTAGATCATAAACAAAATATACCAATTGAGATATGGAACTAGTTCCTATGTAAATTTCCTTACTGTTCAATATAAAAATTTAAATTGCCTGCTGATGCTCGCAAAGAAAAATCTAAATTCCTTTCAGCTTTACTTATTGCTAATTTTTTTGATATAATAATAAGCTTGCAATAATTAACAAAGCTTGAATAAATATAATAGTAGTTTTAATAGATATTGGATGATTAAAACCAATCCCACCTCATAAAAAATCGATTTCAGAATTATATAAACCAATTTCAGATTTTTTTGGATGAATTAAAACCCTTTGATTTTATAGAAATTTAAGGTAACTAATCAAATACAGAGACGACAAGCAAGGTTTAAGATTCCTTAAAAAAAAAAATAAAGAAAATATACGATTATTTATCTGATTAATAAAAGGTCAACATTCTATTTCAATTGTCAATAGGTATAGCTTTGAGTTTCTATCTGAACTCTGATTCTTAGGTAACTATCTCAGCCACATTATAGATAGATTAGAAAACTAAGAACTAAATTGTTAACAGATTATTAGAACTAAGTAATGTTGATGCTGTGCATAGTAGTTCATAAAATGATTTTTTTGCGGAAGATTATATAGCCATAGCCATTTCAAATTTACTAAATTATCCTATCCATTTTTTTATAAATGAATTTGATAAAGACAGGGAGGATCTTATGCAAAGAAAAATTCATTAAGAATAAAATTAAGATAAAGTTGTAGCTTTCTTAATAGATGGAGTTGAAAACGATCTTAATGTGAGAATTTTAGCATCCAATCAAGATACTCGGTGTGCTTAAAATATCATCAATAAAAAACAACAATAGCAACAGAAATCTATTGTAAATTCCTTATAATAAATTTTTGACAATATACTAGATCAAGTAATGGAGGATTTTTGTAATTTGAATGAATTATGGATTCTTCAGATATTATAGATTATAAAGCATGGAGGATCCTAGTCACTTATTACTGATAGAAAGCCTATAAATATAAATCAATAATTTATATAGTATAGTTAAGAACTATTTTAATAGCTGAAATTTGATCCTACAGCACAATAAGAATTCTTAAAGAACTTTGAAGAGAAGTTATAAAAAAAAGAATAGGTTGTTGAAAATATTATCATCTCCTAATTTCAAACGATTAGAGATTAAATACAAGGCAGATCTTAAGAACCTTAATAGAGTGTCATTTAATTTTAAAAGTAAAGCAAATCAAATTTTGCAGTTTGTCCAAAGCCTAAAGAAGTAGACGACGATATACCTTAAAATGTTGATTTCGATTAGGTTCTTAAATCTTAAATAAAAAATAATAATTTAAATAACAAATTAGTTGATCATAGTCCTAAGAGGTAGAACTAGTCTAAAAGTGAAATTGACAATAGAATAAAGCTTAAAACTCTAAATGATTAAAAGAAATGTGAAAGCAGTATAGTTAATCACGAAGAAATGTTAAGTATTAAAAAAGCTTCTCTCATATATCGATAGACGATATCAAGTAAAGTGCAATCAGAAATAAATTCATTTTCTAATATAGAAAAAAATAAATTCTTATTTACTCCATCAATCATCAATCAAAAATCTTAAATTAAAAGACAAAGCGAAATTAATATAATTCCCAAGACTCTTAACTCAAGTTAGATTTCTGAAACCTTAAAAGAATTAAGCAGTAGCATTGCTAGTGTCGAGGATACATTTAAATGTACAATTTGTTGCTGTGAATACAAGGACCCTGATGAAATCAAAACTCTACATGATGATCATAAACTTTGCAAGTTTTGTTTAGGAAGTTGGATAAAAGTAAATAAAATATAATTAAATACAGGTAAAATTCAATTCAACACAATGGAACTTTAAATATTTTAAATGTCCAATACAATCTAATGATGGTAAAACTCAATAACCTTGCGACCATGCAATTGAATAATAGTAGATTTAAAATGTGTTAACAGCTGAGGAATTTGACTTGCTGATAGTGAATACTATAAAAAATTAAATAGTAGATATCATCTGTCCAAACTAAGATTGTAGAGCAAATATAAAGGGTATACCACCAGTGGATAGAAATGAATTGCTATGTCCAATATGTTCTATTAAGATTTGTTGCGTTTGCAAGTAAATCATTTTTTCTCTATAGCCAATTAGATAAATAGACCATATTGATTCTAAATGTCCATAACGCCTTGAGGAAATAAAATTGGCTTTATAGGATGAAAGGATTAGTTGTTGTCCTGGGTGTCTTGAAATCTATATGAAAAATGGAGGTTGTGAACATTTCTCTTGTACAAAGTGTTTCACAGAATTTTGCTTTGGTTGTAGTGCTTATAGAAAACCAATTTTAGGACACGGTACTAGTTTATGATTGATAATAAGGAGCTCATTTTCATAGGGAAGGTTGTTCATCAAGAAAACCATGGTATCAAGATTAAGATAAGAAGATAGAAAATTTGGATGAAGAATATATCCCTGATCAGTGTGAATATTGTAAGTAATATTAAAGAGCCTGTCCTCGTCCAATTAGTTTATCAGAATTCAAGAGTTTAGCTCATTTAAATTTTGAAAATAATTAAATGTGATAATCAAATCTAAAGATTAGTTTTAATGAGAGATAATCATTTTAGTATAAAGAGATCATTTATTGTATTAATTAAAATCATAATGATATGTTGACAATAGAACTTATGGTAGTTCTGCAAAGCTAAAATTCTATTATAAACCTTAAAATCCCTAATACAAATATTCTTTATTCTTTTTAAAATTGTGTAAATCTATCATTGATTTTGAAGTAAGTCTAATGAATTAGAGTAAAAACCAAATTTTATTCGATCTACATATAAATAAAAATATCTAAGTCAAAAGGCTTTAGATTCTTATTTATCTATTGTTGTAGTTTCTGTCATTTCAATTGACAAAGAAGTTCTAGTGATATTAGAGTATTTTTCTTTTTTAAAACTTATTAAATAATTCAATTAGGATAAAAAACTTATTCTTCTTTTCTGATATTTAATCACTTTGATCCTCTATTATGATATGCAGATTATATATGATCGAATAATGAGATAAATCTATAGGAAAGGTTCTATTTCTATAATTAATTAATCATCACTGGAATGAGTATAACTATTTCATACTTAATAATTAAATAAGATGGAAATTCTTTTGTTGTCCACCTAACAAAAAGGAGATCCTGTAATGGAATATTATAGATATATATAATCTTTAAACTCATTAGTCTTCATCCTTAGAATACTTCAATTTTAGTTATTCTAGTTCTTATTTTAATCTTTGATTTTCTTCAATCAATTGATGGGTTTTTAGATTCCAATTCTATAATAAATTAATGTTAAAACCTTTGATAAATCGTCCAATTATGCAAAAGATTAAACTGAGATGACGTTTAGTTATTTCATTAACTCTTATCTAATTTAATCTTATTCCTCTAATTTTTAGATGTTGATCGAGGAATGTTATTTATTCTCCTCAATTTATTTCGTCAAATTCTACTTTAGATATGGATTTACATTTAATTTTTCATTATTTTATTCACTCTTTTTTTTAGAGTCTTATTATGCAGTATACATTTCATATGTTGGAAGTGTTATCAATAAAGCATAGATAAGGATTTCGTAAAAGAATTCCACTCCCTTACAAACTTATTAATTTAGATTACTTTTTCTAATGCAACTTCATCATTCAGAGGCTTAAAGAAAAAATCACTACTTTTTTTATCTATGCCCATAAATTTGCTGTCTATTTTTTACTATATTTCAGAATTTCATTACGTCCCATTTATGTTAAAAGTTTCCTAAACGAACATAAAATTTCTTCACCCAATTTGTGTGTCCTTATTGAGCTTTCTTTAAATGCGCAGCCTTGGTTCTGGCTATTACTGGTCTTGCAAACACCCTCACAACCAATGAGAAAACTTTGAATAAGGGTAACATTATTATTAACTATAATTATAGATAAATTAAAAAATAATTATCAATTAACATGATTAAAGAGTTTTGTTCGAAAAGCTATAAAGAATTATAATTAATACATACTTTTTGAAGGGGGAGGAGATGTGCTGTATACAATTTATCTTTCGTTTGAAAGCAACCTAGATCTTTCCATTGTGCTTACAGTGAATGAAGATTAGTTATCATGAGGCAAATCCCCCATTATATACCCATAGTCTCGGATAAAGTTCAAGAATTTCTAATCTAAAGGTTTTAAGAGTTTGATTTGTATGATATCACTTTTATTCCTGGGACTTCTTTCTTGTTCCTAGAAAGTAGTAGAGTTGATTTTAGAAAAAGATTAATCTAACTCAAGGCCTGAGAAAAGCCTTTTTTAAAGTGAAAGATCTTGTTTAGATTACTAAGAGGAAGACCTTGAATCTAAGTGAGATTTAGTTGAGTTCTAAAACACCTTAATTTAGAATCCCCTTTCTCCATCTTCATTTTGCATTCCACTTGTATTCCTTTGTTAAAGATTGTAAATTTATTAAACTTGCTGAATATTCTACTTTCCCTGATTAGTTGGATTCTTAACAGGCTGAATATCATATTCCTACAATGATTTCTGTTGCATTTTATTAGAAGCTGCAAATCTCTGTTAATACATTATATTATTTATCTGAAAATAATATATTAAATTATAAAGTAGTAAAACTACTTTAAATTATAAGGGTGCAGCAAACAGTTTCATTAATCTTCGAATTATATGACATTGACTCAATTTGTATGATACCAAAAGATATAATTTAATATTGTAATGTTCTCGTATTAATAAGAACAAGATAAATAAATATATAAACAGAATGATTCGTAAGATTTTGAAATTTGGGTTCTCTACAACGACACTCAATTAGGAACCAAAACATAGATTTAGTTTATTTAAACTAATTGCTGGGGCAGCTATTGGAGTTTATGGATTCGATTAAGGAAGAAAATATAGAGAATATTTATCAAATATCTTCCTCTCTAAAGAATAACTCAATGATTTGGCATTGAAAAACATGATCAAATCCAAAGATTCACAATTAATAGCACATCCAATTAATAGTGTTAATAATATAAAGAATAAAGAAAAAGTAGTCGTGGTTGGAGGAGGTAATAATGAATTTACATTTTAGGAATAATTGGAATCTCATAAGCCCTAAAACTTTTAAGAATGGGGTATAATGTAACTGTTATTGAATAAGCCAATACTGTTGCTTCAGAATGTAGTGCCTTTAATGGTAATGTTTTTAATCCAATGTACTTTTTGCCATTAGTCACAAGAGTAATTCATAAATTTATTATTGCAAGGATAACTTAATCTATATGATCAAGAATATATTCGAAAAACCAGAGTTGACAACTGTTAGATTTAACATGAATGCATTCTTAGAAGACAATTTTATTTAGTGGGGAATTAATAGTTTACTATTAAGTATGACGGAGTATTAAAATCAATTTATATAAATAGCAATGCTTAGATTGAGAATTCACGAAAGCAGTTGAGAATTGGATCGCTGACTTTGCAGGACATTGAAAAATTAAAGCCAACAGGATTATTCAAAGGACATTTAATCGCAAAAGGATAATTGGGGTTTTTTGCGTCAGATTAAAAAGTTAATGCTTATAAAGATCGGTTAGAGTTGTTAGGAATTCCTCATATTAAAGTTGAATCCTTTGAATAAATTGAATAATTCACAAAAACAGATTTAAAAACAGAACCAAATCTCAAACTTTTCAATAGGTTCAAGAAAGCTTTGATATTAACCACTGAATCCAATTTGGAAACAAGAGACCTAACATAATCCATGCTAAAGTATTGTTAAGAAAACTTTCCAAACTAATTCGCAATTGCATTTTAGACTTCGGCTTAAAATTTTGTCTTAGATCCAGATAAAAATGTCAAAGGAATTCAAACTAATAAAGGGTATATTTATATGGTAAATTTTGAGAATTGTCTTGGGAGATAGGTTTGTCATTTGTTTAGCACATAAAAGCAAATAGTTGGCCCAAAAATTAAGACTTAACCTTCCAATAGTACCAGCTAAGGGGTGGGCTATGGGAAGAACTGCACCAGAAAATTTTAATTAGACTTTAGTTAAAGAATTCACTTTAAATACTCCAAATTATTTTGCAACAAATCTGAATGGGCATTTAAGGTTAGCAGGGTGTGCAGAGGTTTGTAATGATACTCCATCAAGTGATGCAAGCAGCGAATGGGGAGCTATTTAAATATTAAATAGATTCAATGAGCAAAATGGATTCAATTTTAAAATGAATGACTTTACTGTTAGAAGTTGTTTCAGACCTTTAACACCAGATGATGTCGCCATTATTAGTGAAGTTCCTGGATTCAAAAACGTATTTATAAATGCAGGTCATGGATCAAGGGGCATGAGTTACTGCTTTGGAGCCGCAGACATTATGAGTTAGGTTATGGAAGGATCTAAGGAATTTGAAGATTACAGTGTGAAGAGGTATTATTTTATATGATTTATTAATAAATATTCGTTAAATTATGCAAAAAAAGAAAGGGCATTCCAAGAATCTATCAAAATAAGCTATTGATTTAATTAATTACTATAATAACTTAAGGACATCTATTACTAATGAATTTGCCATGATGAATTTAAATAAAAAAATGTCATTATACATAGCTGATTAACGTATTTCATTTTTTAATTCTAATAGCTATTGCAGAAGAAGATGTTGAGGATTCTCCTATTAAGCTTTAAAGAAATTGCTCAAAGACAGAACATATTAATATCAATATTTATGCTTAAACATTCGATTTAGATGAAGAATTATAATAAGATGTAAAATAGTTAAAATAAACTTTAAATTAAAGTATGTATCATAATTTGAAATTAGGAATAACATAACTAAAAAGCATAATACACCAATCAGAACAAATGAAAAGTTTGAAAAATTAAAATAACAAAGAAAATTAATGCTAAAATAATCAAAATTATGCTGTAAATAAAATAGCTGCAAAAAAAAGAGTTTGAAAAAACATATAATTTGTTTCAATTTAATTCTTTTCAATTAAATCTTATTTATTATTAATGGTTAACTAAGATATCCTTATTTTACTAATTTATTAACCTTTGTGTGATAATTCCTATGTTTTTTAATAGAAATTAAAAACTCTTATAAATTTATTATTTAATTAGTAAATATAAAGCTATAAATAGAATTTCTCACATATATTAATTCAATAATATTTTTCAAATTATTTTTGATTGCTTTCTTAATAGGAATTCTAGCATAATGCAATCTAATAATGTCCTGGTCGAAAGAGTAGATTAATTTATGGTAAATTCTGATTTTAATTATATTTTTCAAGATCAACTCCATCTCTTCTGAAAAAGTATAAATTAACCTAACTAAATTATTTAAAACAAAAAGATACAGGTCTAATTCTTAACTAAGAAGTTAAATTATAGCTTGATTAGAATTACATTCTTTTTGCCAAGTCACTAATTCCTCTTCTAAATCTGTGTCAAGAAAATTTTATATCTAGCTTTTTTTCTAATTGTATATTTATCTAACAATATTTCTAAAAATTATTATTGAACAAACATAAAATTATTTGTTATTTTTTGAAAAATATTCTAGTAAATAAGAAGGGTTTTATTACAATTGTTTTAAAATTTAGTTAAAGTATTTTTTTATTTCAATTTCAATCTTCATTTTTATTAAGGACTAGTCATTTAAGAATAGTGTTAATTCTAGTTAATCAACCTTGTTAATAAATTTATTTATTTCTATTTTTCTATTTTAAGAGTTTGATAGTAATAAATTTAAGTATTAATATAGAAAGGATGTATAAAAGCAATTTCCATCTCCTCTTACTCTTTAATAACCTATAATGTTGCTGAATTATTTTTCCAAATCTATTTTTTGTGTTCCATATTCTTTTTTAAAGGCAGCATAACTTTCTGGAGGATTTACATAATTGATATCAAGTATTTAACCTCCTGATAAAAACTCTAAACTCTTGATGAATTCTGTCATCAATTTTTCTTTATCTTCAAAGTAATTGGATTTATGAGAAGACAAATCAAATATCTATTATCGCTACTCTTTTATTATATTAAATTCAAACATTTCTTAAATAATTTTTGTCCCTTAGTCAATCCAATCATTCAGTTTTACATACATTTACCAAAATTCTTTTATCTTATCTGTTTGTTTCAATTACAATTTGAATCCATCAATCTTTAAACCAGCCTCTGATATTATATCGATGATATTGTCAAGGTTGCTTTTGACTCTTTATATTTATTAATCCAAATATTTTATTAATGTCTCAAAGTTATTCATTATTAATTAAAATTATAAATGTAATTACTATTTGAAACATTTCTTAATACTTACATTTCGATTGGCTCCGGGATAAGAAAATAACCTAAGCTTTAAATTAATAACTAATGATTCAAATCCGCTTTACTTATTGTGCAAGATAAAAATTCTTTTCAATATGCAATTACTAAGACCTATTAAATTAATAATAAGAAATATCTATTTACTATTAATTAATTGTTATTTTCATATCCATAAATTGCTTTGTATTCTTAATAAATTGAGTTTTTAATTAAATGAAATTTTTTAATGACCTCAAGTTGAAGTTTGATGAAAAAGAATTAGAGGAGAAATATTAGATAGATAGAGCAAAATCAATAAAAAAGCCTGTTTTCTTATTTATACTCCTTCTTTCCTTCTGTTCAAATATTACAGTATTGGGTCTGCATATTTTTGTTAAACCAGCAGAAACTTGGTATATAAATGCTATATTAGTTGGTTTGACAGTAATTTAAGTGATAATAGTACTAATACTAAAGCAGCTTCAATTTATTTAATTTGGACTAACCCTTAGCAGCATAACAATAGGGTTTTTGTAACTTAATGTTGACCCTTAAAATACAACTCAAACTGAATTTTATATTTATGGGTGTCTTTTTATGCAATTTCAAGCAGTGTTATTTATGATTTCTAATTTCAATCATGCATTTGTATAAGTAATTTTTAGCCTGACGATAAGAACATCAATCACCTCGATCTATTCGAAGAGACCTGATTATTTAGCTCTTTTTGTTGGAGCCTTTGGATGTATTCTAATTCTTATCACCATTTATGTTAACGATAAAAATGCTAGAAGATATTTCATACAAAACTTAAAGGAGAACAATCTTAAACAGTTAGGTAAATTTTTGCTAAGTAAACCATATCTTAAGATATAATTTTACGAAGATCAATAGCTATTTTAATTGATAAGTTAAAATCAAATCAAATAATTCCCAGGTTATACTGATGAGATATGTGATGGATGCAACATAAGAAATATGCTACGAAATTACAAATCGGATTATGGAAGTTTAGAGGAAGTACTATTAAATAAGCCTGATTTAATTAAATTTGGTTGTATTTTAATTGTTAAATGTGAGAAAATTCGATTCATAATAAAGGTTTGCGCAATCGACCCATAACATCGCTAGTATTTGATTATATTTTAAGAATTTCAATAGCAAATAGTTAATGTTATAAATTAAGAAAAGGAATAAATAAAATTAAAAGAGTTTTTAAAATAAAAATAAATTTATTATCATTAAAAAATATTTAATTTAGGAGCATTCAGTGTGTTATATTTAAATAAATTGATTATAAAGAAAATTGAATTTAAGTAACTTGTAAGTAAAATAGTAAGAATATACTAATGTAGATTTTTCCCAAATATTGTAATTGAAATATAAGCCTAAGAGGATTAAATGTATATCTCTCAATATTTACATTAATTAAGAATCTTTTTAATTTAGATTTTCGAAATAATTTCTGAAATTACTTTAAATGATAGGGAGAAGGTTCGAATAGTTATTAGTCGTAATCTAAATAATATAGAACTGAAGATAGAAGGTTTGAATCAACTAATCTTTTCTTAATAATACAACGAGAATTTTTTTATTAGTAGGATGTAAGGCTTAATATTAGATGATTGCTAATTTAATGAAAACGAAGCAATTTTACTATTTATAAACTATCCTTTAGGATCATACTATTAAAAGAATGCATGAAAAACAGCCACTGAATATCATGAAGTAATATAATATAATTTAAATCTTTTCTGTATCAATTTTTATTAAAATCTTATATATTAAAGATTAATTGCGTGTCTTTTTGTGTTCATTTAATATGAAATGAAAGCAAGATAAATAGAATTTATTATGCACTTGCGTTTCGAGTTGATTTGAATAAATTTTGATTACAATATTATTTTTCTGAGTAGAATAATTAATTATAAGCTAAATTATTATTCTCACTTTGAATGGGTGGTAGTATTCCAAGAGAAAGATTAGGAAGATCAATAATGAGTAGTGTAAGCTAGAGTGAAAGTGAAATTGAAGTATTTGACTAGCCAACATATATTTATCAAAAATTGAAAATTGATGAGGACTTTCCAAATTGGGTTTAACAAATGTATTAAAGGTATGGAGCTTATAATTCTCCTGAAAAATTACCGTAAAACTAAAATTTAGAAGAGACTGAAGAGAGATCATCAGATTACTTTTTTTTAGGGTTTAATTTAAATGAATAAAAGCATGGGTATGGAGTGCTGATGAAAGACAATAAATTTTATGAAGGATATTTCGAATCTGACAACAAAAAGGGATGGGGCAGATAATTGGAACCAAATTTCTTGATGGTAAAAATAATAATAAATTAAAGGAAGGAAAGTGGGAAAACAATAAGATAGTAAGTGATAAAATAATAATTAAAGGGAATTTTAAATTTTTTGGGTAATTTTCAGATAATACTCTGCACGGCAGAGGTACAATGATAGACTTAGAAAAAGAAGAAAAATATGAAGGGAATTTTGAATATGGTATTTTGAATGGGAAAGGAAAAATAACAAATTTGAAATACGATGCTTATTATGATGGAGATATCCAGAATAACTAAATGGAAGGCAAAGGCATATTTAGATTTGGAAATGGGATGGAATATGAAGGAGAATTTTCACAAAATTAATTAAATGGTAAAGGGTATTTAGTATATCCGAATGGGATGTATTACAAGGGTATGATGAATATAATATGAAGGTGATTTTGTTAAAAATATGATGCATGGAATGGGAATTCTGAAGGAAAATGATCAAATCTATGAAGGAGAATTTAGAAATGGGTTAAAACATGGATATGGTAAGATTATCTGCAATAATATTGAAATAGTGGGCAGTTGGGAAGAGGACAGATTTTAAGAAGAATTTGAATGAATTAATTCAAGTTAATATAATTTATATAATGAAATAATAACAACAACAACTTAAAGGAATACCAAACATTAGATCGTAATATTATGTAGCAGCTTAAGCCTTGAATTCTTAATTATCTTCTAAGATTAGCAAGACTAAGTCAAGTTATATCGATGATTCGAATAAAAGTAAATATCACATCAACATAATTTAGTCAAAGATTACTCCTATTTTTAATTATCAACTTAGAAAACGTAACCAAAATACACAGCTAAGAGAGTAAATGTAAGCTTAGATTAACCAAAACAAGATGATCCAACAGTCCTCCCTCCATTAAGAAAAGAGATATTGAGATCAAGATAATCGTAACCTACAGTGGCTAAAAGCAAATAATAACAAAGAAATAATTCACCTTTACTTCCACTAGAAAGTTTACCTGCAATAGAACCATCAAAAATTTCGCAAAAAAATATAGGGATAGTATCGTCATATGCAGCAAATACTCACTAAGGCCTAGTGAGACAATATAACGAAGACAGAGTTTCAATTATATTAAATTTAATGAGACCAAATTCTAACACTAATTCTGGATATTGGCCTTAGAGTTCATTTTTCGCAGTTTATGATGGTCATGGAGGTCCATAATGTGCAGACTTTATGAGAGACAATTTACATCAATATGTAAAGTAAATATTTGAAGTAGATTATCAAAGAGGATTGTTTTCCCAATAATCCCAGACTTGCAATAGAAAGAGGAGTCTCGAAGGCTGAGAAAACATACTTAGAAATGGCTGATCAGAAAGTTTTAGATAAATCAGGATGTTGTGCAGTTTTTGCATTGTTTGTTGATAACAATTGCTATGTGGCAAACATAGGAGATTCTAGGGCAGTCATCTCCTAAGGGGGAAAAGGGAAATCAATAACAGTTGATCACAAACCTTCTACTCATGAGGAATAATAGAGGATAACTAAATTTGGAGGATAAATTTATTAAACATAACTTTAATAATTAAACGGTGAAATTTAATTAGGACCACATAGAGTTTTACCTGGAAGATTAGCTGTTTCAAGAACATTCGGAGATGCTGAAGCTAAATTAATGAAATATGGAGGGATTCCTAATGTTATTTCAGCAGAACCAGATATATTTTAGTTATAAATCACGGATTAAGATTTCTTGATTTTAGCATGTAATATTTTAATTTGATTAAGGTGATGGTATCTATGACAAAATGAGTAGTGAAGAAGTTATTTAATGCGCTTGGAATGTGCAAACATCAAACATTCATATTTTTGGAGGAAAGGCTGTTGAAGCTATTATGAAATTGTCATTATAAAGGAAAACCTTCGACAATATAACAGCTGTATTTATCGGTTTTCCTTAATTAGAGAGAAAGTTAAAAAACAAATCATAATTTTAACAATGATACTGTATTTCAATCCATTATCTTGTGTTACATTTTTTCATCTTTATATTTATCAATATACTTTTGTTTGATATCAGTCTTCAAACGACATTGTTTTTTATTATTACACTTTTAATGGTTCTAACGAATCAAGAACTTTAAGTTCTATTTTATTAGACTTTAACAATATCGATAAATTGTTCTTAAGCGATACTCTTATAAAACTTCATTTATATTCCACTCAGGGTCAAAATGAATATAATTTTTGATTTGATCAATATCAACATTCTAATTCATAGGTTACTGAATCTCTTGTTTTTAAGAGCCACTTTTTTAAAATTTAATTTTTCTTTCTTACATCATTTAATAATATTCAATTAAGAATTAATTATACATAGTTCTTTACTTCTAATTCCGAATTCTTAAGAATTTTGTTTTGGGTCTCCTTAACCGTTATGATATATAATGGAATTATGGACAATATTTAATGACATGACCTTTGCGTTTGCAACCAAAACATTTTATATCCAAATCTAGAAAATCATTACTTTCTAATTTTTGTTTTATCATATGAAATTTTTAGAATTGTTCATAATTCAACTATTGCAAGAATTACTATCTAGATAATTTGACTAAATTAGTAGTTTCAGTAGTTACGAGTTCGGCAGTCCTTTCAATGTTAGAAAAGAAGTTAACTATTCCAAAACATTATTCTGCATATCCAAGATGTATGTTATTGGCCGTGACTGCTACTTTACCTCGAATAATATAAAAAATATGATGCTGGTCATCAATTTTAGTTTCTGGTGGAAGAACTTAAGAATATTAAATAGAAGATACTATATTCGTTTAATTTGATGGCTCTAGTCATTGTGACAGGGAGTGTTTTGAAGAATCTGAGGTTCATTTGAGTGATGACTTAGTTTCTTAATTCTTCGGATAGGTCACAAATAATTAATGAGGATCTTACTTCATAATCATTTTCGACTACCCATTCTAAATAATTTTGAATTTTAAGTCTTAAATGACCCGCGCAACCATGGGCTTTAGTGTATTTATTGATGATTTATTGTTTCATGATCAGTTCTGATAATTAAGGATCTTGATATTGAAAAATAGATATCATGCTATTTGCTGCATATCCAAAAACACCTGATGCTAAAATCATTGCAAAAATAGCATAAATTTATTCTTCCGCAGTCTATGGATGAACATCTCCATAACCTACAGTGATCATAGTCGTAATACTACATAATCTATTTTGACATTTACGTGAAATAGAAGGATGTTAAGTAATCATAATCGTCTTGATTTGTCAAATTAAATATACAAGCACTCCAATGAGCCAACACTACAATTATGAAGGTTAATTTGATGAATTCCATAAAGGAAGAGAAGTCATTTCCTAGAAATGTCTCCAATCTTCTGAGCAAGAGCTTCAATTTAAAGGCTTTTACCATTTTGATTACTTTAAGAAACTTAAAGAATCTCAACATTCTAATCATTTACACATTGTCCCCCTAAAATAATGCTTGTATTTACTTCAACAAATTAATCGTAAGGCAATGAACTAATTAGATCCAACCAAAACCAGAATTTGAGGTAATTGCAAATGATGCTTGATCTTTTTAATATCAATTTACCATCTATATAGATAGCACAATTGAATTGAATAAGAATATCCACTAGGAAGAAATCGTCCATTATTTCCATGAATAACTACGTTCTCTCATCAACTATCTCGAAGGATAAAATTAGAGGTATGATCATCATTTGAATTACTATAAACAACATCGAAAGGATATCCCAAAATAATCTAAAAGGATGGTTAGGTTGCCATGGTGGAGGAATGAGAGTTACCTTAACTTTTTACTTAGTTTCCATTTCATTCTTTCTAAGAAAAGTATGAAAATCATGAATGTAATCTTCCCTTAATTAATTTTCGATATTCATTTAAAATATAATAGTTTCAAAAACACTATCATCAATAAAATACCATCCAGCAAAAGAATGCTATCAAATGTAAAATTGATGCTTGACAAACAGAACTATCTAAATCGCAGTCTATTTAAGCTAATTGATATTGCACAGCAGCCATAGCCCAAGTTGGCGTTTAAGAGTTAATTGCTAATGGAGCATTGATATCCCTAAAAGTTAATTATGCAAATTTACATAGTGTCTGGAATATTGTAGCCAACAGACAATAGTTAATGAACATAGAGTGATAAAAAAAAGTTAGTACTCACATATGGGTTTGGAGAATAAGTAGAATTGGCTAACACTTGTGACCAGCTCATCTAGCAGAATACTTAGGCTTAACTTAATAATTGTGGTAACTATGTTAAGTGTACTTAAGAATTACCTTGAACGTACTAAGTTGAAGAAAGTTAGCAATCGTAGCCACTCCACTTACTGCATAAATGGAATAGGAGGTGGGTAATGCAGGTTAATCAATACTATTGATTCCACATAACTCATCGCTTACTGTTCTACATTGACTATTGAGGAAAGACTTTATCAAAGCTTAACATTGTTCTACGTTGCCACTTCCTGATAAGGAGTACTACACTTGTTAATAGGTCCAAGTTCCAGTATATCCTTGATGATAACATGGACTAATGATTTAAGTGCCACTTATGCTTTTTGCAAGAACAGCTTCTCTGGCTTAATCATTACCATAACCAAGATAAGAAATGGCATATAAATTAAGGTCTTCATCAGGCAATGTCAAAGTAATAATGTCTGATTCGTATTATACGAAATCCACTTTAAATGCAATTTGAGTTGAGGCACCTCCCAAGTCTATCGCGATTAAACTTCCGTCAGTTTTACCCAAAAGATACTCAACACCCAACCAAAGATATGTGGCCTATACATCAAAATTGCAGTTACCTCATCTTGACCTGATATTACTCTGGCCCAACTCTCAGTCACAAACAAATAACCACTCTTACTCAGCTGCTTCCTGATCTCATCTATTAGTGCATTTTATTTATTGATATCCAATAATCTCATTCCAGCAGTTGCTCCCATGAATATTGGTGTATTTTGTTTCTGAGCAACAGGCACCTTTGAACTAATGAAATCAAATATGGGTGCCAAATAAGTTGAGATCTAATCTGGATATTTCGTGGATATCCCTGGACTTGTCTTAAGTTATTGGGACTAAACAAATTTCTAATTCAATTACTTCTTAAGTGATGTCGGTTAGGGGATATTCCTTTTCAGTTCTGCATGGCCAAGAATATATTGTTGTCTTTGTGCTTGAAGATCCACAATCCAAAATTACACCGTAGCAAGTCTCATCTGCTTAAAGAAATCTTTAAGCTAAACAAAGTGAAGGTAATAGTAAATATAAAAACATCGTTTATTTATTTAAATATTAACATTATCATAATCAATCACTCCTTTACATACCCTTCAAATAATATTAATTAATGAAATGATATGACATTCATGATTTATTTTTTTTTAAATAATCCCAAATAATCTTATTTCCCATTTCAAACATCATACAAATAATATACGTTACCCTTATCTCAAGAAAGTTACTAGTATTTTGAATTAGAACACCTCATTTAAAATCCCTAAAATGTATATTCACACAAACATACTTTAAAAACATCAATGAAAACCTAGAATTTTCAAATTTAGAGAGAAGCTTATTAATTATCTTTAATATTAGTCTTAAATACGTTAAATAAGAAATATTATATAGTTTGACATTCTTTTTCATTCTGCTCCAATTATATTGTGATTGAAAAGAGTAAAGGAATAAAATTAATCAGTTATTTCACTCTTTACTAACCTCAAAATGAAATTAATAATATTTAAGTTTTATTAATTTATTTATACAAGACTTATTTTGTCAATAAAATGTACTAATTTAGATCTTCCATTTATTATGAACCAAGTGATAGCGGAAGTGTTAAGTCGGTTTAAGTGGGAAATGCCAAATAAGATTAAGTTAGATATCTCACAGATTAATTACAAGCAGTCATTATGTTTAACGAAAAGCTAGAAAAAGAGATGAATTCCTTAAAATAATAAAACCAACAATTAAAATAGACTGTGGCAGATAAGGATAAATAAATTTCAGATTTTCAAGATTCCCAATCAAAAACAATTAGTAAATTGCAGTAATTTAATCATATAATATTTCAAGCGTTCTATTATCAGAAAACAAAAAATTACAAGAAATAGTGATTTCTACCAATAAAAACTTGAAAAATTCCAATGTCAAAGCTCAACAACTCTAATAAGAAAATAATGTTTTAAAATAAACAATGCAATAATAGGAGGAATATCATGTAGAAGAAATGAAAAAAAGAGCTAATGAACTTGAAGAGCATTACTAATTGATGTAAAATATCGTTTCTGATTTAACATAACAAGTTTCATAATTATGTGAGGAAAAATAAAGACTATAAAATGAATTAGAAGAAAAAAATAAATTATAACAAAAATGAAATGTTTATTATTTTGATAAAATTGATTAAAAATTAATAATGTTTTGATTTTCAAAAAGGCAACATGAATTATGTAGAACTCATAAATATCAATCTATGTTCTGTAAATCAGAAAATGTAAAAGATATCCTAAATTATAATGGGAATACCTAATAATAAATTACATTTTAAATTCCTTTATCTTACACATCAAATGAGAATTAATTAATTTAATGATTCAAAATAATGATTACTGATTATTTAACTAAAATGATTTGGAATTAAATAAAAATATAAGCAAAACTGCTTCAAAATTATCATAAATCTTATTCATTGTAAATAATAATCCAATTTTCTATCAAGTTCTCTAATATTACTTAAATTTGTTAAATTTAATATTCTTTTTATTTTATCAACTATTCTTTAATAAACTTCCTAATCAACTACCAGACAAGCTCCCTTATGATTCAATTCTACTTTAGTACATCTAAAATATTTGCATAATGTAAAGACTATGTCCTTATATAATTAAGAGAATCTTACTTCGTTTAATTATGCTTACTTCTTATGCTCAAGATATGATTACAAAATCTATTTGATGAATTTCCAAACTTCCTTCAAACTTGGGTCTGACTAGCAAAAATAATCTTGAGGAGCACATTATATCACTAAATCTTTTAAACATCTAATAAATTTCTCGTTTTCTTTAAATTATTATTTTAGTGTTTTCACTCCCTCTATCACTTCTTGGTTTAGTAAACTAAAACTAGAATTAATATTCTTGCTATCTATAGTTAAATTGAGTTCATCTGCTAATTGTTTAAAAGTCTTTTCAAATTATGTTAAGTCACATTTCTCTATTACAGAAATTTGATTATTAATGGAGAGATTATTAAATTCCAGATTTTATTTGAGATCATGGAGTTATTGTCTGAATTACTCCACTTTGGCCAACAAGGCTTTATTTTCTCTTTCTAGTTATGAACACATGCACTCTTTTTTAGATTGTAAGTTTGAAGGAGTAGCTAGGTTAAATTAATTAAAAATTTACAATTAATAATGCACTTTTCTTATCTGAAATCAAGAACTTTTTTAATATCCTTTTGATTTTTTTTGAATAGCAATAACTCTTTATTCTTTTATTAAATTTCTTGTCTGGATTCCACTAATTATTATTCATATATTTCAATTTATCTGATTTATTATTAAATAACTTTATTCTTCTCATTTCTTAGTTAATCTATCTATTAAGTCATGTTTTTTAAGGTGTTAGTCAATTGTTTTTATAGTTCATCAATTAAACTGTCTTTGGCTTCAATTTTTTAATACAATTCACTGTAAGTTTTACATGGAGACATCTATGATTACATTGAGAGTTCAGTCACTTTTGAGAGATCCACACATTCTTATAGCTCATTAATGAAACTACTGATATGAATGATAAATTTGAGAATACTTCTATGATTTTCTAGTAACCACAGTGTCACAACTTTCAAATCTGAATTTGGGAGATAAAAATCCAGGATCATTTTCCTTTTGAGAAATGCTATGCTATCGTTTAGTTTTTAATGGTTATAGTTATGATTAATCGATGTTGATTCCGAATGTATTTTAAGCTTTAGTAAAACAATCATGTTCATATGATTTAGATCGAATATGACCAGGTATGGATTCTATTTTATTGCTTTATGATTAATAGTTTTGGAGAACATTAATTTCTGGTTATTTGGTGTGATATTAAAATTCTTTCTTTTTCTATGGAACATAAGTAGGTCTCGTGTCATAGTCAGTTTATGATTGGACTTTCATATTTTTTATTATTTCAAATTTATTTTACAAATTTGATCAACTGATAATATATAATTTTTTATTTAATACTCATTAATTTGCTAATCCTCCTACAAAGCAGGCAGCTGTAATTCTTGCTTAAGTGTTGATATTCAATTTGATGTCACTTAGATCCTTATCAATATTTTCCACATAATCTATAATAAAATTAATAATCCCTTGAACACTGTATTTTTCTAAATGAGAATCCAAAATCAAGAAACTTATGTCATATCCCTTTATTTTAAGATAAAAGCTTACTGGAATTGGTTTCCTTCTTAAAATTTCAAAATAATCGGCTCTGACTGCCAAATACTTGGCAAATTTTTCACCTATCAATTTATCTACTTCATCTAGGGCCTTAATTGAGAAGCTGATCTATATATTCTATAATCTAGAAATACTCTTGTTGAATTAATTGAAGGCTCAATAACACATTTCTCCTTTTCACTTCTGCACAAATAAATTGGTGACAAAACTAGTTGTCTGGTTTTGGATGAATAACTAAACCTTATAGAAAGAATATCATTACCCATTCAATTCGATTTCTGGTTTGCTTTGCTTTTCTATGATTTCTGAGGGAAATGCTCTCAAGCATAATGTAGCTTCTAGTGTTTTTCTGATTGCATCTGAATAGACTTGAACGGCTGCCATTAATGTGGTGTTTTTATTAAATTAATATATATATATGAGTATCAAGGATATTGATCAAATTTAATAGGCAAAATAATGACCTAATTGATTGAATGCTTATAATGCATCTCTAATCCAATTCATATTTAATTATATCTTTGAAGATGGGATACAGATTGATTTAAATAATATAGTATAATAATAATAATATATAATGGGCTAATCGAAAATAGGCCCATCTCATCCAGATAGGTCTTTTTCATCAAATAAATTTTAGTATGATAGATAATTCACCTTTCATGAACCAGATAATTATGAACTGTTAAATAAGGCCTTAATTTTTAGTAATGAAAATTTGATGATTCATGAATGTCTATACATAAATGGACATTTTCTTTCAAATTGTAAGTTTACTGTAAATTCATTTTACAATCTTAAAGATATCAAAAACCTTCTGCAAAGAGAAAATAAAATATTGACATTTTAACATGAATTCGAAAGAATTAGAAAGGATTTTCGATTTAAGTCTAACATCATTACACAGAACACTACAATTTAAGAAGTGAATATTACTGAATTATATAAGCAAGCCAATTCATTTTAACATTAAAATATCCAGATGATGGATAGTTTTGGAACGAATAATTCAATTAATTAAATAGCAAATAGAGGAAGGCAGAATCAAAGATAAAAAAAAGCAAATGAATCATCTTCTGAAGATTTCACAGATTTAGATGATAAAAGCAAATCTCCCAGTCCTATAAACAATAAATCATAAGACAATTTCAAGAAGAATAATGTAATATTGAAGAAAAACTTTCCTTCTGACACTGATAGCGGGTAGGAACAAAAACAAATGAATAAAGAGTATAGTCGAATAATTAAAGACAAGAAAACTTAGGCTCTAAATGAAGCCACTGTTTCAAATCCAAATTATTAATTTGATAATGATTAAGAAGAATAAGAATTAGTTTTCTAAGTTAATTCAGATCTAATGAATCTAAAAAGTAGAATAGAATAGTAAATTAGTCCATCCTATAAAAATATACCTAAGTCAGAAATTTTTACAACCAACTATTAAAAACTAGTAGAAAAACAAAATAACCAATAAGTAATGCATTATTTTATATTACTAGTAGAAACAAAGTTATTAAAGTCGTGGAATGGAGTATTCAGGCTAAGAAAAATAACTATTATAATAAGACATTTCGCCATCGAATAAATAGAATAAATATTAACAATAATCTATTATTCTTCAATAAGATAAATAATAAATATAATCCAACCTTGATTTCCAAGAGTAGAAAGAAAGACCTAAACCTGTTCAATTGAAAAATGTAACTATAAAAGTGAATTAAAATATGTAATCTCCAAAAAATAGTTTGGCATATAAACCTATTGTATAAAAAGAATTTCAGGTTCATCTTGATAGTTCAAATGCTTCAAGTGTTTATAAACCTCCTTGGGATGTAAATTAGGTGAAAAAACAGTTTCCAAATCAAAGCAATTCCTCAGCTTGCTTTGACGATATATATTAGCAGAATAGGAAACAATAGCAACAACAATAGTTTACTCCAAATAATATTAAGATTGATGTAAAATAATTTTAATAAAAGAGGAATTGATTTGTTTATACTTAATCGATTTATTGTTGCCAATTAAACAATTTTAAATATGCAGCAATATTGGAAATATCTAACAATAGCATTTTTATTTCTCAATAACATCTAAATTTTTTCAGATTTAAGAGATAAATATTCATGTTATAATATTTTTCAATTACTATTTTTTAGTTATTTCTATTCATTTAAAATACAAAACTTACCTCAAAAATTCTAATTAATAAGTTCCTTGACATCCTGATTAATATTAATTTAGATTAAAAATTAAATATATAATCATTTTACCATTCAATTAAAAAATGAATTAAAATCCATCAAATCTGTTAAAAAATGGATTAATATGCTCCAAATAAAAGCATTTCTTTATCAAATATTCTTAAAATTTGATATTAACATTAATTTTGAAGATATATTAGTCACAAAAAGGGCAAATTAAAATCTCTTCTGTTATACTATCCTTGTGATTATTTTAGACAACAATATTTTGAAAAAAGCCAAAATTGAAAGTAATTTCCAAAAAAATTAAAAGAAATAGGATATCAGGACAAAATATATCTTATGAGAAATACCTATGAAGTCTACATTATATAGGTGTTGAATGATTATTTCAATCAATATTTCCCCAAAAAATTATATATGATCCTTACTAACGATAGAAAATTTAACTTAAATAAGAAAAGGAATAAGTATACTAAAATGCTCAGTATTAATCCCTCATTTCCATAGTTTTTAAACTAATTCTCGAGAGTAAAATTTCATAAATTTAGAAATTATGGGAATTTGCCATTCGAGTAAAAAAATACAAAGCACTATGAATACTAATCCTATTTCATAATATTCCTCAAATCCTTCAATTCTGTAAAAAATAACCAACTAAAAACAAAGTTACTATAATCCTCATGTAAATTTAATGGTCACTTCTGAACCACAAAATTACGACCCAAAAAGTAATTAAATATACTAATTCAAGATCCTCATCGATAATTCAATGTACTTATAAATGGAGTCAGATTTGAAATTATTAACTCAATTGAGGCTTGCATAATATCAAACGATGACATCGAAGAATGATTATATATCTATTATTGTAATAATTTTTGTGAATATATGACTAATAACAATTAATTAGAATGTATTTCTTTAATTTTCTAGAAGAACTATTGTAGATAATATTGATAATATTTTACTAATTTAAAGATAAGAATATTATTCATAACACATTCTTCAGTAGAAAAAGTAAAAAGTAGAAGAACCAAGGACCTTGTGAACACCTATTCGCGAAAATTTAGAAGGAGACAAATTTTCAGAATTGTCAAGTTTAAATAGTTAAATTATATTCTCTTTTGTTTCATTAAATTAAATTACTTGAATAAATCTAATCAGGGATCATCACCACATCTTCCTATCAATTGGTATTTTCTAATCAATCCTACAAACATATATTATTATAACATTAATATTGTCTAAAATATGGCTATATTGTTTACTTATAATATTTTAAAGTTTTCTAGTTTGTAAATACTAGGCTTTGCTTATCTCTTCTCATCATAATTTAGATATTCTATGTGTATTTAGAACATGTATTGTTTTCTAACTCATTTAGCTAGGCTTTTTTCTTCTCTTTTCGTGTTATTTTTATATTAAAAATTTGAGTCAATTTGAACACCTCTTCTTAACATGCTTTTTAGGATTATGTGTTTCTAAGATGAACTAGAGTTTCTGATTTTCAATTTTTAAATCAACTTTTAACTTGCTATTCATCTATATAAGTTTTATTAGTGGGTGATTAATAAATTTATTATTTGTATCTATTATTATCGTATTCAAATTAATCAAACACAATCAAAATATATCTTGATTGAGAAATAATTTATAATTATTTATACAACTGGTATAATACTATTGTAATTTATACACATATTTGACCTCAAAATGAATTTTTACATATTTTAAAAATAAGATATTTTAATGGATAAGAGTGACTATTGTACTTAATCAAGAACGTATTTCTCAAATAAAAATCAACAATTTGTACTCTATGGAACTTCATTTTGGATTTGAAGATTTAGAATAATCAATATTATGACCAATTGTTCTATTTATACTAAATTCTTAATACTTGCTAATTCAATATAGGGATTTTGGTTTGTTCACTATGATGCCTTTTTCATTTGTTAATATATTAAGCAATATGAATATAATAATGAATTCTTAAGTGCATTTAAAGAGAATTGATGATTTCATAGAAAGAGTTTGTTATTTTTAAACATTTATAATACGTGTATTGAATTAATCAATTTATAATTTATATATATATTTGTTCATCATACTATTTTATACACGTTTTAAATGTGCAATTTAATTTCTTAGTTATTTAAAAAAAATAGCTGGCATTACCCGAAAAATTGCATAAATGAATAAATATTACCAATATTAGTATCTATAAAAATTAATACATAAATAAATTAATTTTAAAAAAGATGGGAGTTTGTATTTCAAAGGAAAAGAAAAAAAAATCCTGTAATTACGCTACATCGTCTTAAGTAAACCTCTAAAAATTTATGATAACTTATGATAAACAAACTAATCTATTATATCGTTCAACTAAATTTTAAGCAGAACTATAACCAAAAGAATATGATTATACAAGTTATTATTATATATATCTTTAGATCCACATCGGCAATATAATGTAATTCTAAATGGAGCTGTTTTTGCCATAGTCAATTCTATAGAGGGATCATTTAATGATGAACCAATCAATAACGACAATTGATACATTTATTTTAAATAACAAGAATATTCTATCATTATAGTCTATGCTTTCTGTATTATTCTATTCCTCTACTCTTTATATCTGAATATTCCATTATTATTAAGATTAGTACTAATCAAGATAAATAATTTTCAGGAATGCTAGATGTTTCTTAGATATCCATTATTTTGAAATACAGGAAATATTACCAATAAAATATCTCGCATTTCTTATAGAGATAATGCTTTCTTCATATTTTATTTGATTAAACTGAGCCTAACCGCTGCTATTTTCAAAATTTGGGCTACTTAATAGCTTTTTTCTCTTTAATAGAAAATTATGGATAATCCGAATAATTCAACATTTATGTTGTTCAAACAAGAACAAATCTTTTTGACTACATTGATTAAATATATTCCTTTTGAATTGGAAGAACACTAAATAATTGAAATGACAGAATGGTATTCTAATTAAAATAAATTCAAATATTTACATTTTCTATTAATATTAGAAATGATCTTTAGAGGAGTAAAATGCTTAAAGAGCATGCAACATTATAGCAATATAATATTTTTTCATAATTTTTTCATTCATTCTATATGACGAGAGCTAGGTGATTAAATTAAGAATATAAATACTTAAATTCAAGCGATAATTGTAATTAATTAAGACTCATAATTGATTAATCAATCCTCCCTTAAGTCCATCTATTCAAAAAAGAAAGACAGGTTAGATAATTACATTATTCTTATCCAAATGCAGAATTGATTATTGATTAACTTTTTAAATTAGTATATTCTTCGTTCTCCTCTTTCTTTTTAGATTTTAATGATATTGAAAAAGAACGATGAATAATATGCTAATTTCAAGCAAAATTAATTTTTTGATTTTGTATTTATTAAATATCATTAGTAAATTAAAATGCTAGACGACATTTCTAGTTCAAAGAGTTGTTGGGAGCAGGATCTCGGACCTGAAAATTAATCGCATTTCTTAGAAAAGTACTTTTATGACTTAATTACTGATAATTGTGATCAAATATTAACAAACACCTTATATAGAACCTTAATAGAGTAGAAATCAGATAAGAAAACTTTAGAAACAATCTTAACTAGATACATATAGGAATAAATTGATTTGCAACAACGCTAAAAGATTCATTCCAAATACTTTTTTGCTAAATCAGTTGTTTCTCTGAAAAAATTAATCTAATAATTTAGACAATTATTAGTTCCAGAAGAAAATATCAATAATACTAGCAGCACTTTAAGTTAATCAATTGAGAAAAAAAACAAAAGTGGATTTTTCCAGAATTCAGAATTTATAGAATTATATGAAAACGAATATTTCAAAGAAATTGGCGAACTTAATTAGGGAGAATTAATTTATATAGATGTTAGGTTTCGTATTACAAACTCATAATTAAAAGAAGAACTATATAAAATAAGATCCCACATATTGAAATAATTGCTATATTAAACAAGCACTGATGAAAAGTATCAATATATTGTAATTTAGTTTCTTTTAAACATTTAATGNAATACCAATAAAATATCTCGCATTTCTTATAGAGATAATGCTTTCTTCATATTTTATTTGATTAAACTGAGCCTAACCGCTGCTATTTTCAAAATTTGGGCTACTTAATAGCTTTTTTCTCTTTAATAGAAAATTATGGATAATCCGAATAATTCAACATTTATGTTGTTCAAACAAGAACAAATCTTTTTGACTACATTGATTAAATATATTCCTTTTGAATTGGAAGAACACTAAATAATTGAAATGACAGAATGGTATTCTAATTAAAATAAATTCAAATATTTACATTTTCTATTAATATTAGAAATGATCTTTAGAGGAGTAAAATGCTTAAAGAGCATGCAACATTATAGCAATATAATATTTTTTCATAATTTTTTCATTCATTCTATATGACGAGAGCTAGGTGATTAAATTAAGAATATAAATACTTAAATTCAAGCGATAATTGTAATTAATTAAGACTCATAATTGATTAATCAATCCTCCCTTAAGTCCATCTATTCAAAAAAGAAAGACAGGTTAGATAATTACATTATTCTTATCCAAATGCAGAATTGATTATTGATTAACTTTTTAAATTAGTATATTCTTCGTTCTCCTCTTTCTTTTTAGATTTTAATGATATTGAAAAAGAACGATGAATAATATGCTAATTTCAAGCAAAATTAATTTTTTGATTTTGTATTTATTAAATATCATTAGTAAATTAAAATGCTAGACGACATTTCTAGTTCAAAGAGTTGTTGGGAGCAGGATCTCGGACCTGAAAATTAATCGCATTTCTTAGAAAAGTACTTTTATGACTTAATTACTGATAATTGTGATCAAATATTAACAAACACCTTATATAGAACCTTAATAGAGTAGAAATCAGATAAGAAAACTTTAGAAACAATCTTAACTAGATACATATAGGAATAAATTGATTTGCAACAACGCTAAAAGATTCATTCCAAATACTTTTTTGCTAAATCAGTTGTTTCTCTGAAAAAATTAATCTAATAATTTAGACAATTATTAGTTCCAGAAGAAAATATCAATAATACTAGCAGCACTTTAAGTTAATCAATTGAGAAAAAAAACAAAAGTGGATTTTTCCAGAATTCAGAATTTATAGAATTATATGAAAACGAATATTTCAAAGAAATTGGCGAACTTAATTAGGGAGAATTAATTTATATAGATGTTAGGTTTCGTATTACAAACTCATAATTAAAAGAAGAACTATATAAAATAAGATCCCACATATTGAAATAATTGCTATATTAAACAAGCACTGATGAAAAGTATCAATATATTGTAATTTAGTTTCTTTTAAACATTTAATGATTATTATCGGTTAAATACAATTACAGTTCTACTGTTTGTTAATGGAGATATTAATTTTGATTATGAAAAATATTTCGATTTAAAAGAACTACATGTAGGATAGAAAAAATTTTTAATCAAATTGAAAGTATTAATTAATATCTATGAAAGGTGTGTTATATTTCGGCTAATAGACTATCTTCAAATTTTTGCATATCAAACAACATTATCAGCCAAACAATCACTTAATAAAATATGGCATTCTATGAATTGAAAAGATATGGACAAGTCAAAGTGATTATCAATAAAACTATTTGTGAATTAAGGAAAATGAAGTAGAAAGCAAATTATAGCATATTTAAAGATTATAAATTTTACATTCTAGCAATTGGAAGTGTGGCTGCTATTGGTTTATTATGGAAGGGTTTTTCTAATTAAGAGAATTAGGCAAGGAAATTATTAAGATAATAATAATGAGTATACTGTTATTAATTTATAAATTTATTTATTTAACTGCTAATAGAATGAACTAACCAAATCATGTAATTTCAGAGAATCTCGTGATTTCATAACCACTTTATGACAACGATTTAGCTGCCTAATCAATATATGACAAATATCTGAAAGACTGTACTTTGATGCCAAATCGATTAATAGAGGAATCAAAGGAAACATAAGAAAGGCCATTTGCAGGAACAAGGCCAAATAGTTAACAACAATAGAATTAAAGAAATGATCAAATCATTTAAGAAATTAGTTCTCAAGAAAGAGAGTAAAGAAACCGTAATCAATAATAAATTTAGTAAGCCAATTATTAGTAGGATCAATAATATTAAAATAATCAAATGAGATATCCTCAATAAAATATCTATTATCATCAAAGATAATTTAATTAATTCTAAAATTATCATCACGATTAGCATCATTACTATCAACATAGAAGGAACCAATAAAATTATAGAATGGAATAAGAATATTATGGTCATTAATTGAGGAGATAAGAACAAGGAAGAAGAAGGCAGCAGTAATAGCCAAAATATGGATTGGATTTAAATGAGATTGCAGCTTTGAGTGAGATTGTGTTTAGGTAGAGCAGGGCTTCATGTTGGGATGATGAAAACAAGAAATGTAGTATTTGCATTTCACACTTTGAGGAAAATGAAAAGATCAGATTTTTGCCCTGTTTACATAGGTATTATTATGAATTGATTATTGATTTCATTCAGGTTGCGTCGATTCTTGGTTGGCCTCCAAAGGATCATGTCCATTATGTAAAAAGTATGTCCGGTCCTTAGTTTAATAATTTTCATGAGACACACACTATATATATAATAATTACTTCAACATAATTAATTATTAGGATTAATAATTATTGATAAAGAAAATACAAATCGGAAAATCATTTGTTTTAATTCTCAGGGAAAAATTTCGTTTTTTAAGAAACAAATTTTCTTTTAACTTTTACAGGAGGTGGTATTTCATCTTCTTCTTTTATAACTTCTGTCGCTATTCTTCCATTTTGTAGATTAATTACCTTAACACGCTTTTAAAATTCAACTTTTCTTTAAGTGTTTAAGTCATCCTATTATGAATTCTCTGAATCGTGTAAAAATGGAGTTTCTAGGTTAGTTTAACTTTAAGTTTGATTCTTGCCTCTTCTGTTGAATCTATTTTAAATTATTCTTTAGGACTGGGTCTCCTAATTTGGGAAACTCAATTGATCCTCTATCATTTTGATAAACATATGTGATTCTTTTCTTTATTTATGAAGACCAGGCAAAATAATGTGAGAATCACCAAGAGAATTTTACTGAGAAAAAATATTCTACAATTGGACTTTAAGTTGATTGTGTTTTGATTCAGGCATCAGTGTTAATGGTTTATTTATGAGTTATGATGAGTTTTATTAGATTTTAGGGAAACGAATGGTGACTTCTTAAATTCTGTCGGTTTATGCACCTTATTGGTAGATTTCTTCTGGTTTAAAAGGGGCAAAGAATTAACTTTCAGTTTCCTTAAGTTGTTCTAGATTATTAAGAAATTGAGCAGGTTTTAAAGACCTTAAAATTTAAGGGTTAGGCTAATGTGGATATTCAACTTTTAAATCAGGCTAGGAAGCTATTTTATGATGTAAAGTTAGCATAAATATTAATTTATGTCAGAAAAAACTTGAAATTTATAATCTTATCACATTATAAGAGTATTTGGATAATTATATGATTTATAATTTGTAATACTTAAGTTTTATTTGCTGATCTTAATTTCAATAACACATTAGGTGTTTGATACCATTTCATTCATTTAAGTTAAAGGAAGAAAAAATATTGGTAATTATTATACGATAATAATGATTAAAAATTAGTGATAAAATATATTTATATTTAGTTTTATATAAATGGAAATAAATCTAATTTGTAGAAGAGAAGTCTATTCACAAAAATTATTATATTCAAGTATTTACTTCTTTGATGTAATTATTCTCTATTACTTAATTTTTGTGAATAATTTATGTATATTTATTTAATTTCAACTCTTTTTAACACTACTAGATTCCAATATTTTATTCTAAATATATGATTAGATTTGATTTGCAGATTTCTAAATTTTTTAGCTAGTCTTTAAGCTAATTTTCATTCATTCCTTATTTTTCAACCTATTATTATTTGATATATTTCTTTTATGGGCATAAAATTATATTCTTGAAGCTTATATTTCAAATATTTGAATGATTTTGTCATTTCAGAAGCAAATCTAAATAATATTGATATATAATTAAATGGAGCTTAATTCATGATCTTAGCTCAAATCTAAAAGCATTTTGCTATCTTCTCAAAGCATTGCTTTAGATATGACGATGTAAATTATTTAAAAAGTTGTCTTTAGTCCTTTTGGCTTTGATTAAAAATAAAATATAAAGTATAATAAAATCAAATGGATTAAAAGCCGGAAAGAGTGTTTGAAATAAAAAAATGGAATGCTGTTGCTTTGTGGAGCTGGGATATTAAAGTAGACAACTGCGCCATATGCAAAAATCATATAATGGAGAAATGTATTGAATGTGATGCATAGGAGGGATAAGGAGAATGCATTGTAGCTTGGGGAACATGTAATCATGTATCAAAGAATTTTATTTTAGGCGTATCATTTTCATTGCATTGAGAGATGGCTAAAGAATAGGTAGACTTGCCCATTGGATAATCGAAATTGGGAATATTAAAAATATGGATGAGTGTGTTATTTTATATAATTAAATATAATGGATAGTAATTGTTATTAGTAAATTGAGATTTTCATTTCTGGAAGATAATTGAAAGACTTGGATTATTTCAGCAAGTCGGATCCTTTTGTAATAGTGTACATCAAAACAAATAATTAATGGATTAAGATTGGAAATACGGAAACCATTTCTAACAATTTAAATCCAAACTTTAAGAGAACTTTTCAACTTGATTATGTGTTCGAGACAGTTTAACCAATTAGATTCGAGGTGAGAGATGATGATGGAAGCAACTCAGAGTTGATTGGTTAAGTAGAAACAACAATAGGTACTTTATTTGGAGCTAGGAATCAGACATCGATTTTAGAACTTGGATAAAGAGGAGGTAAACTAATTATTAGATGTGATAAAATATAAGAGGGAAATGAATTTATGATAATGAGATGGAGTGGAGTCAAGCTAATGAATACAGATGGATGGTTTGATAAATCTGATCCCTTTCTTAGGTTTTACAGGTAAAGGGAGGATTCTACATATATTCAAACTTATGAGAGTGAAGTAATCATGGACAATTTGAGTCCGCTTTGGAAAACATTTGAGATACAAAGTGTTAAATTGGCTCTTTCAAATGATAAAAAGATTAAAATTGAATGTTGGGATTGGGAAAAAAGTGGAAAACATCAATTTATAGGAGAATTGTTGACAACAATACCAGAATTGCAACAGACAAGAGAATATTAATTAACAAATCCCAAGCACAAGAATCCAGGAAGACTGAGATTAGATTAATTTAGTACATACATTAGACCAAGTTTTTAAGATTATGTATAATCATTTGTATATCTTTAAGATACGAGGAGGTTTGTAATTAAACTTAATGACTGCAATTGATTTTACCGGCTCTAATGGAGCCCCTCATCAGCCAGGTAGCTTGCATTATCGTTCTCCAAATGGTTTAAATCAATATCAACTTGCCATTAATGCAGTTGGAGAGATTCTCCTTGCATATGATTATGATAAGATGGTACCTTGCTTCGGTTTTGGTGCCAATTTGAATTATCCAACAATGAGATCGAACCAAGTTTCTCATTGTTTCCCCCTATCCGGAGATCCTAACCAACTGAATGCCTTTGAATTATAAGGAATTGCCAATCTTTACAATTATGCACTCGCTAATGTCACATTTTCAGGCCCCACATACTTTGGACCAATCATATCAGAAGCTCTTAGACAAATATATGCTCAACAATAAACTGAACAAAACGTAAGTTTTTTTTAAATGTTTTAGGTATACACAATATTATTGATTTTAACAGATGGTATCATTCATGATATGGAATAAACTAAATAATTGATTGTCAATAGTGCTAGATTACCTTTGTCCATTATTATTATTGGAGTTGGAAATGAAAACTTTTCAATGATGGAAGAATTAGATGGCGATCAAGGTAAACTTAATCAATTACTTTTTAGGTCTTTATTCGGGGAACAAAAAGGCTGAAAGAGATCTAGTTTAATTTGTTCCTTTTCGTAATTTTGGCGGAAATCAGGTTAATCTAGCAAGACATGTATTAGCTGAGATCCCAGAATAAATAGTCAAATATCATTAATTGATCGGCAAGAAGCCAAATGCACCTTTGTTTGTAGATATCAACCAAATGGGCATGACTATGGCAAATTAACAAATGAGATAACAAGAATCTTAGCAACAATATATACCTTCTTAAATTTAATAACCCAATATATAACCCAACACGCAACCTCCATTTTAACCACCTCCTCACTAATAACAAATGCAACCACAAGTTCCAGGATACTCTTCATAATATTAGTAATAAAATTAACCATATCCACCACCTACATAATAAGGATATCCCTATTAATAACCAATCAGTTAATCTTATCAATAAGGGAGAGCTTCTGAATAAATCAACCCATCTAACTTCATGTAGTAATAATATGGATAGCCTGTCTAAAACAACAGGTAAAGTTGCAACCTATAGTAAGCACCTTACTAATAATAACCACAAGGTTAGATGCAGAATAGTTAAATACCAAATTATTAATATCCTCCTATAAGTCAATCTTAAGCCTATGCTTAAGTAAAAAATCCTATGGAGTGAAAAATGTCATTTAAAAATATAGTTCAAAATCATAATCATCAATATTAAAACCTGAGTCTTTAGTTTTAACATAAATTCAAAACCTCATCTTGATTTATGGTGTTCTTAGATTTAAGTCTGCTTCTATAATTATTAATCAGAATTTAATTTTTTATCAATATAGTAATGTTGGTAACTAACTTAATCAAATTAAAGAGCATATTTCTATTATATAGAGTATAAAATCTTTTTATTTAATATTATGTTAATATTAGGATCTTAAGATTCTATTTTAATTTCTCATACTGTTCTAGAAAGTTTGTATTTATTAGTTCAAATTATATTTATAGATTACTTATTTTCTATCTAAAAATTGCTTCAATATTATAGGGGACCTTTTCTTAGACATTCTAAAATAATCAAACAATGGTTGTTCTAATTTGAATAATCTACTCTAAATTATTTGTAATTATTTAATTAGCAATAATTTATCCCAATGTCTTATATTTAATTTCAATAATTTAAATTAATGGAATAGTAAGCTGCAGCAACTCAAGAGAAAACTCAAAATTAAACACAAGCTTCATCTGCTTAATAACCTTAGGCTCAAGCATAAAAACCAAAGACAGTCTTATCTGAAATCAAACTCTAAATTTTATTATTAGAAAAGGCAGTCAGTTCTAAAGATATTAAGGCAATTCAAAAAGTATCAATCTTTGTGAAAAAGTTCAGAAATGTAATACCCTTTAATTGATTTTTAGACTGTAAAGTCTCATCATTTGGCCAAACTCTACACCGCATTCTTTCCAAATGTAGCAGCTTAATAAGGAAATGATTTCGATGCCAATTTCAACGAAGATTTAGGCTTGAGTGCTTAAGTTATTTCCAAGCTAAATAAAATAATTGAAGTGAATGTATTTATTCAATGCCTTTATCTCATTTGGCTCTTTTAATAAAAATAAGCTGAAGCATACGAATAGTTGAATGTTATTGGAAAACAATTATTATAATAAGTTCAATAAAATAACAAAAGATATTTAGATACTCTATTAGGAGTCATCTATGAATATTTATCAAAATCACATGAGAAATTAGGCAAACTAGATTAAATCAGAGAGTAATTATATTTCAATATATTATATTATAGTGTCCTATTTGAAGGTTATAGAAATGCTTGTTAAAACAGAGATGAAAATGGTCAGGCCATTTTAATAAACCTAATTTTGAGGAACTTTATTCATTACAATTAGTATGAATAGAGTTATAATTTCTTAAAAAAGACTGAATTCCCTGAACACGCTTTTGGAAACCAACAGGCAAGATTCTTATATTATACTGGACTCATCCATGCAATTAGAGGTGAATACTAAGAAGCCTATAAGAATCTTACCTAAGCAAGTCACAAGGCTCCAGATAATACAGCCTTGGGATTCAAAGTCTAAGCGATCAAAGTGATTGCTTTAGTTGAATTGTTACTAGGTAATGTTCCAAATAGAGATACTTTCACTTCCCCTGAATATCAATAGGCTCTGTATCCTTACTATAGGATTGTTTCAACTGTTATCAAAGGAAATTTAGGGGAATTCCAATAGGAAGTAGCAAGATCAGAAAATATATTGAGGAGAGACANATATTAGGATCTTAAGATTCTATTTTAATTTCTCATACTGTTCTAGAAAGTTTGTATTTATTAGTTCAAATTATATTTATAGATTACTTATTTTCTATCTAAAAATTGCTTCAATATTATAGGGGACCTTTTCTTAGACATTCTAAAATAATCAAACAATGGTTGTTCTAATTTGAATAATCTACTCTAAATTATTTGTAATTATTTAATTAGCAATAATTTATCCCAATGTCTTATATTTAATTTCAATAATTTAAATTAATGGAATAGTAAGCTGCAGCAACTCAAGAGAAAACTCAAAATTAAACACAAGCTTCATCTGCTTAATAACCTTAGGCTCAAGCATAAAAACCAAAGACAGTCTTATCTGAAATCAAACTCTAAATTTTATTATTAGAAAAGGCAGTCAGTTCTAAAGATATTAAGGCAATTCAAAAAGTATCAATCTTTGTGAAAAAGTTCAGAAATGTAATACCCTTTAATTGATTTTTAGACTGTAAAGTCTCATCATTTGGCCAAACTCTACACCGCATTCTTTCCAAATGTAGCAGCTTAATAAGGAAATGATTTCGATGCCAATTTCAACGAAGATTTAGGCTTGAGTGCTTAAGTTATTTCCAAGCTAAATAAAATAATTGAAGTGAATGTATTTATTCAATGCCTTTATCTCATTTGGCTCTTTTAATAAAAATAAGCTGAAGCATACGAATAGTTGAATGTTATTGGAAAACAATTATTATAATAAGTTCAATAAAATAACAAAAGATATTTAGATACTCTATTAGGAGTCATCTATGAATATTTATCAAAATCACATGAGAAATTAGGCAAACTAGATTAAATCAGAGAGTAATTATATTTCAATATATTATATTATAGTGTCCTATTTGAAGGTTATAGAAATGCTTGTTAAAACAGAGATGAAAATGGTCAGGCCATTTTAATAAACCTAATTTTGAGGAACTTTATTCATTACAATTAGTATGAATAGAGTTATAATTTCTTAAAAAAGACTGAATTCCCTGAACACGCTTTTGGAAACCAACAGGCAAGATTCTTATATTATACTGGACTCATCCATGCAATTAGAGGTGAATACTAAGAAGCCTATAAGAATCTTACCTAAGCAAGTCACAAGGCTCCAGATAATACAGCCTTGGGATTCAAAGTCTAAGCGATCAAAGTGATTGCTTTAGTTGAATTGTTACTAGGTAATGTTCCAAATAGAGATACTTTCACTTCCCCTGAATATCAATAGGCTCTGTATCCTTACTATAGGATTGTTTCAACTGTTATCAAAGGAAATTTAGGGGAATTCCAATAGGAAGTAGCAAGATCAGAAAATATATTGAGGAGAGACAAACTATTTAATTTAATTTAAAGGTATTGAATTCGAATCATTGAATTTTTAGATTACCATAAATAGTTATTAAGGCTGGTCTAAGAAGGATTAACTTATCCTATTCTAGAATTTCCTTAAATGATATTCACGAAAAATTAAATCTTCCAAGATAATGCAATGCTGAATAAGTTGTAGCCAAAGCTATAAGAGATGGCACTTTGGCAGCAGTCATTGATCATGAGAATTAAATAGTTATAACCAAAGAAACTAATGATCTTTACGGAACCAAGGCTCCTTAAGAAGCTTATGGAGAGAGAATCAATAATTGCCTAGGACTCTATAATTAGGCTGTTAAAGTAATGAATTAGATAATCTAATTAGGCTTTATAATATTAAAATCCAGAATATGATTATGGAGAAAAGCAGGCTGATGATGAATTAACAACTGATGAATTATTAAGTTTAGCTGAGCTTGACTATTGAGTAGCATAAAAATGTATAACCACCTAATAATTATATTTCATTTAGAAGTTCATTTATTTGTAAAATTGACACAGGGTTCTCTATACAGTTACAATACCCATATATTATTCTGCATCTCCACTTTTTCCACCAAGGTACTCCAGACTAATTGTAAGGCTGGATCCTTTTGATACAGTATTTCTTTGCCTTCATATTGAATTATTGTAGTTCTTTCCCAAACTTCTACATAAACTTGACCCTATTGAAAAGTTACCTCAAGTATTTCAAAGAGGAGTCTTTTCAATTATATGACTATAGTCATAATATCCTCATTTTATGGATTATAAAATGTTAATTTGTTAAATTTGTAAACAAAATAATCATTTAAATATAAGAAATTGTTGATATCAAATGATTATGTTTTCCATTGCTATTTAAGAATTTTAGAATTCATAATTTATTTCATGCAACTATTTCTAATTGACCATAAATTATTTAATTGTCTTAGATTCAAAGAGACATGTAAATTTTTATAAATGCTCTTTATCAATTTCATCCTCAGATGTTCCTATTTTTTAAATGTTTTCTGCAATATAATTTTGCAATCATCAACTTTTATTACCGAATCATCAAATTTTATAATGAAGGTTGATGATAAAGATTTCATCATGGAATAATGAATATATTATTTAGCCTTTTTGTCTTTAATTATTTCAATTTTTTTCGAATGAAATTCGTTTATATCCTCATTTAAGTACAATTGATATAGAGTATTTTCTAGTGAATCTTGATTTAAATGCCAGTCTCGCAAAAACTCCTTTAATTGCTAAGTGGTATTGCACTCAAAGGAAATCCTATTTTGAGATTTTAATACAAATTCTAGCTTATCTTCGTTGAATGTAAATATTAAGTACGGATTATCCACAATTTTCGGAAAAATGCTCTCTAGAAATATCATATATTATACCCCACATGTAATCATATTAGCTCAACAGAAAACTAGTTCTATTCAGAATGTTAAATTTATAAGATAAAAAACACATAAAACACATCAATATGAGGGTTGTGCTATAAATTGCATAGGATTTCTGTGTTTCCATCATCATTACATAGATTATTCTAAAAAAAAATGTTGACACTATAATAAGTAAAGATTCTCTAAATTCTGAAATGAGTATTATAATTACTCCGCAAATCGTAAAATTACTTTAGTATAGGGATAATGCTTATGGGTTCGTGTCAGTCTTTATAATTAACTCATAGGCTATAAATAAGTAAGCCAGCAAAATGAGTTATATGTTAATTTTATGCATATTAAAAACCAACAAAATAAACGACAATATCGAATATATTTGGCAAACAATCAATATAGGCATCAATTCTATATTATTGTCTAGGGCCAATAATATGAGTTTGAAAGTAGCAATTATGAATAGGCATGCTGAGCCAAATTTAAACACAGGTATACTGATAGTATGAACTCTTGATTATTGATATTCATCCTCTATTTTTTACGATTTAAACCTTAATGTGTATTTATTCATTTGTTCCTCCTTTACTTTATTTAAAAATATTCTTTATAATAATTAAATGGCTGATTAATAAGAATTATCTTAAGTATTTTCTTGAAAAAATTCCAGTTTTTTTAAATTAGAAGGGACAATAAATCAGACTTTGAGAAATGTTTAATAATTATGCTTTGTATACATTTGGAGTGTTATTATCTGAATTATAATATTTATTATAAAATCTAATACTTCCTAAAATAGAAAGTAGGATTATTTGATAAATAAACAAATTAAATATTTAACAAAAAGTATTAGAAATACTTATATTAATGGTTTCCGTTAAAAATTATTATAGAATTCCGTATTTTTGAAATTTAAATAAATGATTTATCAACCTTATTCTTTTAGTTTGAATGTAAGGAGATATGGAAATGGACTCATAAATTAACAACTGGAAAATGGGTTTGAAAAAATAAAGTATAAAAGCCTGAATAATTATTTAATAGTCAGGTTTTGATAATAGAATTTGCATATCTAATACTCAAAAACAAGTATAGAAATCACAACCAAAGTGAATACTAATAATTATATACTATCATATTGGTTTCCTACAGACAGGGCAATCAAGACTTTTCTAATTCCAAGCATCAATACAACTTTTGTGAAAAGAATGAGAACATTTTAATGATTTTTTATCCTTTACCAATTCTTCCATGCAAATGGAGCATTCTTCTTTTTTATCCAAGTTTTAGAATTAATATTCTATGTAGGGTATACAGTCAACAAGGTGTTCATCCAAAAAGTTTCTAACTATGGGTTCATGACAATATGGACAATTGATGAGTCCATATTCATCATTACACTGATGATCTGCATTCTTAGGTTAGAAACACTAGCTGCAAACTTCTAAGGTATGGATTTTCTTAAACTATTAGTTTTCTTAAATTTTTATTTTAGGAACAATAGTTTACGAATTATTAGATTGGAATTGAGGTATAGGTAGAGGCATTTGAGATAAGTTAGTGTATTTTTTAGCATTATTTGCATTTTGTTGTGTAGTATTAGAGATAATATTGAAATTTTATATCTTAGGCACAATTTTTTCTTTGTTTTGTTCGTTATTTGATCCCTTTTGTTGCTCTACTTTTTTAAAAAAATTGATCTAAGATTATTTGATATTGTTTTGAAACAAATTTTGTTATTGAATACTTTAAATTATAATTGAATATATTACAGGTTGTCTTAAGTTGAGTTACTATAGAGTGTATGACTTCTCTGTGTCCTAGAGCCTATATTTTCTATATTTTGGTAAGGGAAAACTATGAGGATAAAGTATGATAATTACATTGTGCAAATTTGAGTTTATCATCGTCGTTGTATTTTATAGGATTCATTATAAATTATAAATAAAATGATTTTAATCAATAATATTAATGATGTTTTAGATTGCTACTAAATCATGTAAACTTAGAAATGCAAACTCTAATACATAAATCCGCAAATTTAAAATATCTAATGCAAGATGGTATTGTGTAAAGCAAATTCTGTTGTGTTTTAATAAGGCGAAGTTGGGAAAAATTTATATCACGTATTATGTGGCTAACTGACTTGCCTTTTCAAAGAGGAAGATTGCACCCCATCAAAATAAAAGTTCATGAGATAACAATCAAATGATATTTTTGTCTAATAGGTTCTATAATTGGTACCAAATATCACTATATTGAGTAAATAATATTTCCAATCCAATCAAAACATTCCTTTTGCATAATTGTACCCAGGAGACACTTTTGGGGAAGCAAAAGTTAAACGTTCCTACACTGTAATTGCTGAGAAGGACAGTATAATGATAGAGTTGTAATTTGATGAAAAGTATTGGAGGAGTTTTGAGAGTCGACATTCATTTCTGGAAAAGTTGAATGTGGCCAGCGATTTGCAATTACTAAGTGTATGTCTAAAAGAGAAACAATATAAATATGGAGATTATATATTCAAACAGGAAGATCAAAGAAAGTGGATTTACATGATTATTTCAGGGGAAGTCAATTTTATCAACAATAACACAAATATTTATAATTTGGGAGCACTCCAAATATTTGGATTTGAAGAATTCTTGAGAGACTCTCTAAGAAAATACACAGTCAAATGTATTTCCGCTTAATTTTGTTGTTATGTAGTTGATAGTTTAAACTATTTTAATATAATGCAATTAGAGAAACTAGCGAAGGCAAGAAACCTTATGATTTAATAAATTCTAAGGTAGAAAAAGTAAGTGTCAATAACCAATAGATAAATTTAAATGCCTTAAGTTTCCAAAGGGTGTGTGTCATAACAATAATAAACAAGTAATTCTGAAGAAAAGAATAGCTTTTATAATTTATATTGGTCAAAGGATTTGTCTGAATTACCAAGATGGAATCTAGAATAACTAACTAGAGATGCAGGGGCATCGCCAGGTTAGGGGATAATCAAATCGAAACAATACAAAACACCTATTCTTGATTAGTTGTAGGATGGGAGTTTGATGAATTCGAGAAGAAATTCAATAAAGCCATGTTCAGTTTTTGATGTTAATCCTGTTCAGAATGGAAAATTGATTAGAAGTTATATCAAAAGGATGAGAGCTGAGAAGTATTCTGAATATCATGCATGTTTAAAGGGAAATTGGGATTTATTTAATGTATCAAAGGTGTCATAACAATACTCAGCTCCCAAGAAACAATAAACCTCTGTTCCGAATACGTAGAGTTATTCTAAGAGACAACAAGCACTTAAATCGAATTTGACTTAAATGAACTCAATTTATGTAGAAGATTTCTCTAATTCTCCTGTTAAAATCATCTCAGATTAGCAAAGACCCAAAATTGAAAAGTAAAGTAAAGAAATGTCAACGATGACTATTCACCCATTCAAAATTTGATTTTCTCTTTATTAATATATTAATTACCAACTTGTTATGAAATTATAAAAATTTGAATTTCTTCTAAAAAAACTTGATTATCCTTATAGCGAGGAATTACTGCTAAATACTGAGTAAAGATTAAATTACATAGAACATTTAATGAAATTGCATTCAGAAACCTTATTCTAATACTTTCAAATTGATCATAGTGATTTAGCAAGCAGAATAAAATCAATAAAATGTTAATTACTAACCACAGGCATTTGGGGTTAATCCAAGCATGGAAAGAATGTTGATCTTAACAAACTGATTTAAGGAATCTGTTCATTCGACTCCTCCTTATCCTTTATTTATAAATTGACGAAATGCATTTACAATAATTCACTAAATCAAGAAACCAATCTAGCCATACTCAGAGACTGCCTCTAATTACCATATTAATTAATAAATACTACCTATGATCCCTTCGTCTAGACTTTACCAAAGGAAGATGAGTTTGTTGATGCTGAGAGATTTCAATAAGTGGAAAGCGACATTAATGATATTTTAGACCTTTAAGAACAGGACTTGACGAAGATAAATGAACGATTGGGTGAGGAGGATCAACCAAAAGAGCTAGGTAACATAAACGAAAAAATTAAATAAAATTATATCAATAAAATGAAGAAAGTGAATTAAATGATTGATTAACTAAAAGAGAAGAAATAGGTATTAGAATAGATTTAGTAATAAAATGAAGTGAATGATGATCCGAGATATACATTGGTGTTCCCTACGGAGTATATCAATGTTCTTTAGGACTACAATTAGTTACAAAGGAATGTGAAGCAAAGTGAGGCAATTCCAGATCTAAAATAAGTTAGGGAATAGACAAAAAACTTAATTGATTAAGAATTTTATTTTATTTAATGAATTAAAATTGAGATGTTCTTTTATAAATTGAGACAATCACATAAAATACTAAATATAAAGTAAATCTTTCATCATCAATCGCAATTGTAATTGGCCAATACGTAGACAAGACATTTAAAGAATTCAGGAATAGTCTTTTAATATATTTCTTAGAAGGTCGTTTCAGTGACAACATTCTTATCCTGATTAGATTTTCGAGCATATAATTCAGACAAGCGTCTTGCCTTTTCTTTCATCATAGTAATGACAACTTGTTTTTGAGGTTTCTGTTTGCCCTTCTTTTTGGTTGAAATTTTGGGATTGAGCTCAAATGGATTTCTGATAGCCTGAAATCGTAAATATTTAAAGATGATGTCTGCATCTTTCTGTGCTGCTCCTCCAGATTTAAATAGCTCAAACAGATCTCTCGTATTTAAATAGGTCTTTGACATCAAGTCATAGCAACAAAAAACTACTTAGATTATCTCTATTATCTTCAATATTCATTACATTGCTGACTCATCTCTCTGATCTAAAGCAAGAAAGATCGATAGACGGCTTAAGTAATTGAATAAGGCAACTACATCAAATTGATCAATCTTTGAATGCTGGCCTAACAACCTAATGATTTTGTTAGGTATTTGACTAACTAAGTATTGATAGAGAGCATACTTAAGGTTTGGTGATTTCTTGGTAAATGCTGGAATTGGACAGCTGTTTGAATATCTCTTGGGTGTACGGACTGTCTGGATCTAAGGAGAGATAGCCAACTTTCATTGCTTTCAATCGAGTTGAAAAGGATCTATATTTATTATAAGTGTTTTTTCTTGAAGTCATTCCAGAGGAATCATGCTAACTATTGCACATCGAATATTTTTTTATTGGTTGTTGGTCCAAAAGGGATATCTTTGGTAGTTCATAACACTCAGAACAATCAGACAACACTTCCTTTTTTTCTTTATTTTTAATTAGGAATTTAGGATTGTATTCCAATTCTGTTTGGTAGGACAATTCCACATCATATTTGTTGAGCGAGTTTGATTCATTGAATTGGTAATGATTGTCCTTTGTCTTCACTCGAGACATCATCATACTTGAATTAAGCTAGGATCTGTCTGCTCTACTGGATCTCCCTGTGAGAATCGTGATTTTCTCTTCTATGCATCTCTTGAATATATTTGATATATCGTACATACTTTAATTATAAATATTTATTCACACGATGGACAGAAAAGTCAGGAAACGAGCCTCCAGTGTCAATTCCACCAATCCTGCCATGAAGTTACTTGAGAAAAGAAGGCTCATGTTTGAAGTTCATGAGGCCTATGAAAATTAACTCTTCTAATTTAAATAGCAAGGTACAATATTTCCCCCTAATTTATTAGAGGAGGAGTTCAAACTTAAGGAAAATGAAATTAAATAAAAAGACGAAGAAATTCAGACCGAATTGCTTAAGTTTTGTAAGGAATTGCAAGTAAATGAAACCAAAAAGAAAAAAGCCATTAGCTTATACCAAAGTGAAAGAGCAGAGAAAGATAAAAAAATTAAGGAAATTGCCAAATTATAACATGACTTGAGTCAAGATTAATATATCTTCGAAAATGTGGAAAGAAAGGGTACAATAATTCAAATTTATAAGAATAGCTGAGAGACTTAAAAAATATGTAGAATATTTAAATAGTATTATTAAAGCCTATCCTGATAAATATTCTGATCTTGATTCTATAACTGATAGATATAAAAGACTTGTGATATCACATTAAATTTTAAAATCAGAACATGAAAAAATGGAAACTGATTGTGAAAAAATGAAGTTCACCATCACTCAATATGAGAAGGAAAAAAATCATGAAGTCTTACAATTGAATAATGACATCAAAGAATACCAAAAATTAATAGAAGAAAAAATGATTGAGAGAAACTCATTGTTAACTGAGAAAGAAGAGGAAGAAAATAGAATCACAGAGGAGAATTTGAATCTAGGCAGAATATTCATGGCCATTGATAATATAAACCAAAGATGTTTGGATGGATATCAAAAGATTAAATAAGATTATGAAGATTAAAATAAAGAAAAGGATAAAGCAATCAAACAAGTAAGAGAGGAAAAGAAACCAATTAAATAACCTTAAGATGAGGAGAACTTTGATGTCAAATGTAAATTATGTGTTAATAGGAATTAGGTCAATAAGCCTCAATTAAGTTAAAATAGATAGTCTAAAATTTAAATGATTTTAAAAAGATAATTGAAGGTTGTAAAAACGAAATCAAAAATAAATAAAAATGATTATTTAATTCATATTATGATCTTCTAGATTGTAGCGAAATCAATCTAATAATATTTTATGTTCAAATTAAGGAATTTATATTCACTATCTGTGAGTTCTTAAAAAAAAACCAAAAGGTGGTATATGGAACACATTAACGATTTCTACGTTAAAGAATCCAAAAGAGTATTTGCAACTATTAAAATAGTTATAATTAAGAAGTAGGGCTGCCTTTAAACTGATGCAAATCAATGAGAAATATACAATCTATAAATCCAACTAATACGTCTTAGATTTGGGAGCAGCTCCTGGTAGTTGGTCTTAAGTGGTGTCTGAAAAATGCA